TTGTGTTAATCTCCTCCCTCCTTTGGGTTACAATCTCCCTGCACACTTGTGTCTACAATCTCATGCTTGCACTCTTGTGTCTACAGTCTCCTATCTGCACTTTTGTGTCTACAGTCTTTTGCCTGCACTCTTCTGCTTGTTTCTACAATCTCTTGCCTGTACTCTTGTCTACAGTCTCCTGCCTGCTCTCTTGTGTCTACAATTTCAGGTCTGCACTTTTATGTCTACCCTCTTCCTGCACTCTGTGTCTACAATCTCCCCTCCCTGCACTTTTGTGTCTACAATCCCTCCCTGCACTTTTGGTGTACAATCCTGCCTGCACCTTGTCTAAATCTCCCTGCATTCTTTTGTCTAAAACTCGGTCTCCCCTTTTGGTCTACAATCTCTGCCTGCACTCTTGTGTCTAAATCTCGGTCTGCACACTTGTGTCTAAATCTTAGGTCTGCCCTTTGTTACAACCCTTTCCGCACTATGGTTACAATCTCAGGTCTGCATTTTTGTGTCAAAATCTCAGGTCTGCCGTTGTGTCTACAATCTCCTCCCTTACTCTATGTCTACGTTCCTGCCCCCCCTCTAGTTTCTCAATCCCCTGCCTGACGCTAGTGTTTAATCCCCTCCCTGCCCGCTAGTGTCTACAGTCCCTTTTGCACTTTGGTTAAATCTCAGGTCAGCACTCTGTTGGAATTCCCTCAAAAAAACTATATAAAAAAAAACAACATCAAAACAGACAAAACTAGATTTTTTAAAAATATTTTATTTAACTAGAAAATCAAAAAAACGTAAACTAAATTTTAAAAAAGCAAGAAATGAAACTCCCTGTGAACCATCACTAGATATTCTACACACTGATGTGAACCATCACTAGACAGTGTACATACTGATGTGAACCATCACTAGATATTCTACACACTGATGTGAACCATCACTAGACAGTGTACATACTGATGTGAACCATCACTAGACAGTGTACATACTGATGTGAACCATCACTAGACAGTCCACACACTGATGTGAACCATCACTAGACAGTCTACACCCACTGATGTGAACCATCACTAGATATTCTACACACTGATGTGAACCATCACTAGACAGTGTACATACTGATGTGAACCATCACTAGATATTCTACACACTGATGTGAACCATCACTAGACAGTCCACACACTGATTTGAACCATCACTAGACAGTCTACACACTGATGTGAACCATCACTAGACAGTCTACACATTGATCTGAACCATCACTAGATATTCTACACACTGATGTGAACCATCACTAGATATTCTACACAATGATGTGAACCATCACTAGATATTCTACACACTGATGTGAACCATCACTAGATATTCTACACACTGAGGTGAACCATCACTAGATATTCTACACACTGATGTGAACCATCACTAGACAGTCTACACACTGATGTGAACCATCACTAGACAGTGTACATACTGATGTGAACCATCACTAGATATTCTACACAATGATGTGAACCATCACTAGACAGTTCACACACTAATGTGAATCATTACTAGACAGTTCACACACTAATGTGAATCATCACCAGACAGCCCACACACTGATGTGAACCATCACTAGACAGTCCACACACTGATGTGAACCATCACTAGACAGTGTACACACTGATGTGAACCATCACTAGATATTCTACACACTGATGTGAACCATCACTAGATATTCTACACACTGATGTGAACCATCACTAGACAGTCTACACACTGATGTGAACCATCACTAGACAGTCCACACACTAATGTGAATCATCACTAGACAGTCCACACACTGATGTGAACCATCACTAGACAGTCTACACACACTGATGTGAACCATCACTAGACAGTCCACACACTGATGTGAACCATCACTAGACAGTCTACACACACTGATGTGTACCATCACTAGACTGTCTACACACTGATGTGAACCATCACTAGACAGTCTACACACGATGTGAACCATCACTAGACAGTACACACTGATGTGAACCATCACTAGACATTCCACACAATCAATGCTGCACACATATGGAATGTTAATAATTAATCAGTAAGTACTTAACACTGGTTAGATAAACACAACTTTGTCAACATCAAACACACACACACACAAATGCTCATACACACACACACAGACTGGCAGCCCTCAATTAAGATATTCAGTGTCACAAAATCCTGGCCCAACAACATCTTCTGCGGCAAGTCCTCGCCTGAAACAAACAAAACATGTGTGTACAGACTCGTGTGTGTGTGTACAGACTCGTGTGTGTGTGTACAGACTCGTGTGTGTGTGTACAGACTCGTGTGTGTGTGTACAGACTCATGTGTGTGTGTACAGACTCGTGTGTGTGTACAGACTCGTGTGTGTGTGTGTGTACAGACTCGTGTGTGTGTGTGTGTACAGACTCGTGTGTGTGTGCATGCATGTGCGCTGCATTATGTGGCATGCGCGTGCGTACAAGTGTGTATGTGTGTGTGGATACATTTGTCATTTCTCACTCTGTTTCAGCCTATATTTCTCAGCCTGACACTATCACTGTTTTAGCCCCATGTTCTCAGCATGACACTATAACTGTTTTAGCCCCATGATCTCAGTGTGACACTATAACTGTTTCAGCCTCCATGATCTCAGCATGACACTATAACTGTTACAGCCCCCATGGTCTCAGTGTGACACTATAACTGTTTTAGCAGCCATGGTCTCAGTGTGACACTATAACTATTTCAGCCTCCATGATCTCAGTGTGACACTATAAGTGTTTCAGCCCCCATGGTCTCAGTGTGACACTATAACTGTTTTAGCAGCCATGGTCTCAGTGTGGCACTATAAGTGATTCAGCCCCCATGTTCTCAGCATGACACTATAAGTGTTTCAGCCCCCATGGTCTCAGTGTGACACTATAACTGTTTTAGCCCCCATGGTCTCAGTGTGATACTATAACCGTTTTAGCAGCCATGGTCTCAGTGTGACACTATAACTGTTTCAGCAGCCATGGTCTCAGTGTGACACTATAACGGTTTCAGCCTCCATCATCTCAGTGTGACACTATAACTGTTTCAGCCTCCATGATCTCAGTGTGACACTATAACTGTTTCAGCAGCCATGGTCTCAGTGTGACACTATAACTGTTTTAGCCTCCATGATATCAGTGTGACACTATAACTGTTTTAGCCCCCATGGTCTCAGTGTGACACTATAACTGTTTCAGCCCCCATGGTCTCAGTGTGACACTATAATGGTTTCAGCCTCCATGATCTCAGTGTGACACTATAACTGTTTTAGCCTCCATGATCTCAGTGTGACACTATAATGGTTTCAGCCTCCATGATCTCAGTGTGACACTATAACTGTTTCAGCCTCCATGATCTCAGTGTGACACTATAACTGTTTTAGCCCCCATGGTCTCAGTGTGACACTGTAACTGTTTCAGCCTCCATGATCTCAGTGTGACACTATAACTGTTTTAGCCCCCATGGTCTTAGTGTGACACTGTAACTGTTTCAGCCTCCATGATCTCAGTGTGACACTATAACTGTTTCAGCAGCCATGGTCTCAGTGTGACACTATAACTGTTTCAGCCTCCATGATCTCAGTGTGACACTATAACTGTTTCAGCCTCCATGATCTCAGTGTGACACTATAACTGTTTTAGCAGCCATGGTCTCGTAGTGACACTATAATTGTTTTAGCCTCTATGATCTCAGTGTGACACTATAACTGTTTTAGATCTCATGGTCTCAGTGTGACACTATAACTGTTTCAGCAGCCATGGTCTCAGTGTGACACTATAACTGTTTCAGCCTCCATGATCTCAGTGTGACACTATAACTGTTTCAGCCTCCATGATCTCAGTGTGACACTATAACTGTTTCAGCCTCCATGGTCTCAGTGTGACACTATAACTGTTTCAGCCTCTATGATCTCAGTGTGACACTATAACTGTTTTAGCCCCCATGGTCTCAGTGTGACACTATAACTGTTTCAGCCTCCATGATCCCAGTGTGACACTATAACTGTTTCAGCCTCCCTGGTCTCAGTGTGACACTATAACTGTTTCAGCAGCCATGGTCTCAGTGTGACACTATAACTGTTTTAGACCCATGGTCTCATTGTGACACCATAACTGTTTTAGCCCCATGGTCTCAGTGTGACACTATAACTGTTTTAGCAGCCATGGTCTCAGTGTGACACTATAACTGTTTTAGCCTCCATGATCTCAGTGTGACACTATAACTGTTTCAGCCCCCATGATTTCAGCATGACACTATAACTGTTTCAGCCTCCATGATCTCAGTGTGACACTATAACTGTTTCAGCCATCATGATCTCAGTGTGACACTATAACTGTTTTAGCAGCCATGGTCTCAGTGTGACACTATAACTGTTTCAGCCTCCATGATCTCAGTGTGAAACTATAACTGTTTTAGCTTCCATGATCTCAATGTGACACTATAACTGCTTTAGCAGCCATGGTCTCAGTGTGACACTATAACGGTTTTAGACCCATGGTCTCAGTGTGACACTATAACTGTTTCAGCCCCCCATGATCTCAGCATGGCACTATAACTGTTTCAGCCCCCATTTTCTCAGTGTGACACTATAACTGTTTCAGCCTCCATGATCTCAGTGTGACACTGTAACTGTTTCAGCCCCTATGATCTCAGCATGACACTATAACTGTTTCAGCCCCCATGATCTCAGTGTGACACTATAACTGTTTCAGCCTCCATGATCTCAGTGTGGCACTATAACTGTTTTAGACCCATGGTCTCAGTGTGACACTATAACTGTTTTAGCTCCCATGATCTCAGCATGACACTATAACTGTTTCAGCCCCCATTTTCTCAGTGTGACACTATAACTGTTTCAGCCTCCATGATCTCAGTGTGACACTGTAACTGTTTCAGCCCCTATGATCTCAGCATGACACTATAAATAACTGTTGTCTGATGTTGACTGTTGGCCTCTCTTTGTCTGGTGTTGACTGCTGGCCTCTCCTTGTCTGGTGTTGACTGCTGGCCTCTCCTTGTCTGATGTTGACTGTCGGCCTCTCCTTGTCTGATGTTGACTGTCGGCCTCTCCTTGTCTGGTGTTGACTGCTGGCCTCTCCTTGTCTGGTGTTGACTGCTGGCCTCTCCATATCTAATATTGACTGTTGGTCTCTCCTTGTCTAATGTTGACTGTTGGCCTCTCCTTGTCTGGTGTTGACTGTTGGCCTCTCCTTGTCTAATGTTGACTGCTGGCCTCTCCTTGTCTGGTGTTGACTGCTGGCCTCTCCTTGTCTGGTGTTGACTGCTGGCCTCTCCTTGTCTGGTGTTGACTGCTGGCCTCTCTTTGTCTGGTGTTGACTGCTGGCCTCCCCTTGTCTGGTGTTGACTGCTGGCCTCTTCTTGTATAATGTTGACTGTTGACCTCTCCATGTCTAATGTTGACTGTTGGCCTCTCCATGTCTAATGTTGACTGTTGGCCTCTCCTTGTCTGGTGTTGACTGTTGGCCTCTCCTTGTCTAATGTTGACCGCTGGCCTCTCCTTGTCTAATGTTGACTGTTAATCTCCCCATGTCTAATGTTGACTGTTGGCCTCTCCTTGTCTGGTGTTGACTGCTGGCCTCTCCTTGTCTGGTGTTGACTGTTGGCCTCTCCTTGTCTGGTGTTGACTGTTGGCCTCTCCTTGTCTGGTTTTGACTGTTGGCCTCTCCTTGTCTGGTGTTTACTGTTGGCCTCTCCTTGTCTGGTGTTGACTGTTGGCCGCTCCTTGTCTGGTGTTGACTGTTGGCCTCTCCTTGTCTGGTGTTGACTGTTGGCCGCTCCTTGTCTGGTGTTGACTGTTGGCCTCTCCTTGTCTGGTGTTGACTTTTGGCCGCTCCTTGTTTGGTGTTGACTGTTGGCCTCTCTTTTTATTAATGCCTCTTCCATTTTTGTTTCATCTGTGCTGAGGAACACAAAAAATCCAGTGCAGACTGAACAAAATATTTACCTGACCAAGCGACACCTGTTCTCAGAGAAGCGGGCAGTGGCCGTACGGTAATCGTTGACACTGGCTGGACTCCACAGACGTTCTGCTACAGCTGACGCTCGGGGCCTGTGAGTAAAAATCAAGGTCACTCATGGTTACTCAAAGCACTCATGATAAAAAAATCATTATTATAGGTCGGAAATCGAGACTCTACGATCTGTTACTTTTACTGATAAGTATAGTCACAACACTTGCCAGGTGACACAGTGCAAGCCTGGTTACACATCACTAGCCATGTAATACGGTGCTAGCCTGGTTACACAATATTAGCCTGGTGACACAGTGCTAGCCTGGTTACACAATACCAGCCTGGTGATAAAGTGCTAGCCGGTTACATACCACTAGCCTGGTGATAAAGTGCTACCCTAGCTACACACCACTAGCCTGGTGATAAAGTGCTACCCTGGTTATACACAACTAGCCTGGTGATAATGTGCCAGCCTGGTTACACACTACTAGCCTGGTGGTGATAAAGTGCTACCCTGGTTATACACAACTAGCCTAGTTACACACCACTAGCCTAGTTACACACCACTAGCCTAGTTACACACCACTAGCCTAGTTACACACCACTAGCCTGGTGATAAAGTACCAGCTTGGTTACACACCACTAGCCTGGTGATAAAGTACCAGCTTGGTTACACACCACTAGCCTGGTGATAAAGTACTAGACTGGTTACACACCACTAGCCAGGTAATACAGTGCCAGCCTGGTTACAGACCACTAGCCTGATTAAACACTACTATTCTGGTGATACAGTGCCAGCCTGGTTACAGACCACTAGCCTGGTGATACTTTACGACATGCAGGTTGTTCAGCTGAGATCTAGACAAAGCACTACTACCCAGCCCAGGTTAAACATCACACCAACATTGAGCATCCGGCCCAGGTTAAACATCACACCAACAGCAAGCACCTAGTACAGGTTAAACATCACACCAACAGCAAGCACCTAGTACAGGTTAAACATCACACCAACAGCAAGCACCTAGTACAGGTTAAACATCACACCAACAGCAAGCACCTAGTACAGGTTAAACATCACACCAACAGCAAGCACCTAGTACAGGTTAAACATCACACCAACAGCAAGCACCTAGTACAGGTTAAACATCACACCAACAGCAAGCACCTAGTACAGGTTAAACATAACATCAGTAACCAGTATTGATTAAACAAAAGATGGAACACTGAGAACAACAATATACAGAAAACATGAAACGCTGTGAACACCAAAAATGGAGGTCCCATGAAACGTTGTGAACACCAAAAAATGGAGGACACAAAAAACACTGTGAACAAAAAAATGGAGGTCCCATGAAACAGTGTGAACACCGAAAATGGAGGTCCATTGAAACATTATGAACACCAAAGATGGAGGCCCCATGAAACATTGTGAACACCAAAAATGGAGGTCTCATAAAACATTGTGAACACCAAAAATGGAGGACACAAAAAACTGTGAACACCAAAAATAGAGGGCCCATGAAAGACTGCGAACACCAAAAATGGAGGCCCCATGAAACATTGTGAGCACCAAAAATGGAGGCCCCATGAAACATTGTAAACACCAAAAATGGAGGCCCCATAAAACATTGTGAACTCCAAAAATGGAGGCCCCATGAAACATTGTGAGCACCAAAAATGGAGGCCCCATGAAACATTGTAAACACCAAAAATGGAGGCCCCATAAAACATTGTGAACTCCAAAAATGGAGGTCCCATAAAACATTGTAAACACCAAAAATGGAGAACACAAAAAACACTGTGAACACCAAAAACGGAGGACAAAAAAAAAAAAATGCGAACACCAAAAATGGAGAACACAAAAAACACTGAACACCAAAAATGGAGGTCCCTTGAAACACTGCGAACACCAAAAATAGAGGTTACAAGAAACACTGCGAACACCAAAAATAGAGGTTACAAGAAACACTGTGAACACCAAAAATAGAGGTTACAAGAAACACTGTGAACACCAAAGTTGGACAAAGGAAACAAACAAAATGACAGTTAGAGAGATGGACAAGACAAGTTTACCATGTCCTGGAGATGAGATTTGTGTTGTCCACGTACTCCCCCCACATACAGGCCTCACCCCCCACCACCAGCGACTTCTGCTGCTCCGTGCCTAGGTCAAGGATAATCAATGAACATTGAGTTACCAACAAATCTGGACAATTTGTACAATTCAAAAACACTTAGTTACAACAAATCTGGATAATTTGTTATTTTCATAAACACTTAGTTACCCCAAATTTGAAAAATGTGTTACATCAATGAACAGTGAGTGACCACTAAATCTGGACAATCTGTTGTATACATGGACACTTAATTACCAGAAAATTTGGAAAATGTGTTTCACCAATGAAAAGTGAGTTACCACAAAATCTGGACAATTTGTAATTTGGCATCAATAATGATACAACAATATGCACTCACTTGTTAAAAACTTTTGTGTTTTTGGAAATCTCAACATTCAGTTCACTGTTTACAAGGTTAAGAATCTTATTCCCTGGTTACATGTTTGTTGCTCTTGCCTCAGTTCACTGTTTACTTTGATAAGAATCTTATTCCCTGGTTACATGTTTGTTGCTCTTCTCTCAGTTCACTGTTTACAAGGTTAAGAATCTTATTCCCTGGTTACATGTTTGTTGCTCTTCCCTCAGTTCGCTGTTAACAAGGATAAGAATCTTATTCCCTGGTAACATGTTTGTTACTCTTGCCTCAGTTCACTGTTTACAAGGATAAGAATCTTATTCCCTGGTTACATGTTTGTTGCTCTTCCCTCAGTTCGCTGTTTACAAGGATAAGAATCTTATTCCCTGGTTACATGTTTGTTGCTCTTCCCTCAGTTCGCTGTTTACAAGGATAAGAATCTAACTCCCTGGATAACTGTGCTGCTCTTCACTCAGGCACTGTTATCAGCACAGCATATCAGTCAGGTACAATAGATTGTGTGTGTGGGCAGTGTTCTGTCTGTCCTTCATGCACCAAACAAACAGCAGTGACTCACCATTGAAGTTGAGTGGCTCACAGTTGTAATAGGACACCCAGTCATCACCGTAGGCAATGTAGTTCAAGTACCAGCATGAGGACAGCAGAGTCTTGTATCCTTGAGCTGTGACATTGTTCATCTCCTTCTGCCATCCATCCTTCCACACATGAACAACGGTGTCTGGTCGAACCTACAAGATACAAGTAATAGATTCATGGAAGATGACATCATGTCTCTAAAAGAAACCTGTAAAACCTGGATGCGATTTACAGCTACAAGATACAAGTAACACATGACAGATGACCTCATGAAACTACAAAATAGAAATAATATATGACAGATGACCTCAGCTAACTACAAGATACAAGTAATATATGATAGATGACTTAAGGTAGATACAAGATACAAGTAACACATGACAGATGATCTCATGAAACTACAAAATAGAAATAATATATGACAGATGACCTCATAGAACTACAAGTAACACATGACAGATGACCTCATAGAACTACAAAATAGAAATAATATATGACAGATGACCTCAGCTAACTACAAGATACAAGTAATATATGATAGATGACTTAAGGTAGATACAAGATACAAGTAACACATGACAGATGATCTCATGAAACTACAAAATAGAAATAATATATGACAGATGACCTCATAGAACTACAAGTAACACATGACAGATGACCTCATGGAACTACAAAATAGAAATAATATATGACAGATGACCTCATGGAACTACAAAATAGAAATAATATATGACAGATGACCTCATGGAACTACAAAATAGAAATAATATATGACAGATGACCTCATGGAACTACAAAATAGAAATAATATATGACAGATGACCTCATGGAACTACAAAATAGAAATAATATATGACAGATGACCTCATGGAACTACAAAATAGAAATAATATATGACAGATGACCTCATGGAACTACAAGATACAAGTAACACATGACAGATGATCTCATGAAACTACAGAATAAAATAATATTTGACAGATGACCTCAGCTAACTACAAGATACAAGTAATATATGATAGATGACTTAAGGTAGATACAAGATACAAGTAACACATGACAGATGATCTCATGAAACTACAGAATAAAATAATATTTGACAGATGACCTCAGCTAACTACAAGATACAAGTAATATATGATAGATGACTTAAGGCAGATACAAGTAACACATGACAGATGATCTCATGAAACTACAAAATAAAAAAAAATATATGATAGATGACCTAAGGCAGCTACAAGAAGCAAGAAACATCTAATAGATCTCATGGATCTACAAGTAACATCTAATAGATGATCTCATGGAACTACAAGATACAAGTAACATCTAGTAGATGATCTTATGTAACTACAAGATACAAGTAACACCTAATAGATGATCCCATGGAACTACAAGATAAAAGTAAGTAACATCTAATATATGATCTTATGTAACTACAAGATACAAGTAACATCTAATAGATGATCTTATGTAACTTCAAGATACAAGTAACATCTAGTAGATGATCTTATGTAACTATAAGATACAAGTAACACCTAATAGATGATCCCATGGAACTACAAGATAAAAGTAAGTAACATCTAATATATGATCTTATGTAACTACAAGATACAAGTAACATCTAATAGATGATCTCATGGAACTACAAGATAAAAGTAAGTAACATCTAATATATGATCTTATGTAACTACAAGATACAAGTAACATCTAATAGATGATCCCATGGAACTACAAGATAAAAGTAAGTAACATCTAATATATGATCTTATGTAACTACAAGATACAAGTAACATCTAATAGATGATCTCATGGAACTACAAGATAAAAGTAAGTAACATCTAATATATGATCTTATGTAACTACAAGATACAAGTAACATCTAATAGATGATCTCATGGAACTACAAGATACAAGTAACATCTAGTAGATGATCTCATGGAACTACAAGATACAAGTAACATCTAATAGATGATCTCATGGAACTACAAGATACAAGTAACATCTAATAGATGATCTTATGTAACTACAAGATACAAGTAACACCTAATAGATGATCCCATGGAACTACAAGATAAAAGTAAGTAACATCTAATATATGATCTTATGTAACTACAAGATACAAGTAACATCTAGTAGATGATCTTATGTAACTACAAGATACAAGTAACATCTAGTATATTATCTTATGGAACTACAAGATACAATTAACATCTAATAGATGAGCTTATGTAACTACAAGATACAAGTAACATCTAGTATATGATCTTATGGAACTACAAGATACAAGTAACATCTAATAGATGATCCCATGGAACTACAAGATAAAAGTAAGTAACATCTAATAGATGATCTCATGGAACTACAAGACAGGGTGTCATTATTCTTAGGAATAATTATAAAAGCACTAACCTTGACACCATTATCTATGACCTCCTGCCAAATGATGTAACCTTTATCTAGACCTCCAACAATGTCCAGGAGACTGTGGACATAAGACATCAGCTTCGGTGGTCAAGATGCAGGAGAGGGGCGGGTTGGGGATGGTGGTGGTGGCTAAGTAATGAAGGACAGATGAAAACAAGAACAGTGGAAAGTGGAAAAGTGCAGTAGAATTGAGGATAAAGCAAGCACAGTGGAAAGTGGAAACGTGAAGTAGAATGGAGGATAAAGCAAGAGCAGTGGAAAGTGGAAAAGTGCAGTAGAATTGAGGATAAAGCAAGAGCAGTGGAAAGCGGAAATGTGAAGTAGAATGGAGGAGGATAAAGCAAGAGCAGTGGAAAGTGGAAATGTGAAGTAGAATGGAGGAGGAGAAAGCAGCTGGTGGCAAGTGTGTGGAGTATCGGCTAGGTGTGAGTTTCTGGCAATGTGGTTCAACAACAAACTTCATCTTGCATGTAAACTACCAACATTTATGCTGAAGGACAGGTTGTTATTATTGCGGAGAATGTTCCATTTCTCAGACAACAGCGCTGATGCAAGTATCCACAGACTGTACAATTTAGACATGTTACTAGCAGTCTGCATTCATTGTTTCAGTGTGCATTGTTGCTGTCAGACAACTTTTTATAGGTGTGACAAAGGTACTGTTGTTATTTGTGTCAGTGTGCCCACAATTTTGTTAACTTGTAAACACTGATTACCGTGTTTCCAGTTCTCAAAGGATGTTTTTTTAAGTACTTATAATAATTGTAAAGTTTGTCTGGCTTCCACACAAAGTTATCAACTACTGAGTAGCCACCCATTTATTCATTTAGCTCACAAGCACACTAATCTCAGGTAGTCACTGGCCAAGTACATCAACTGTACTGTATAGTTTGTTCAAAAATTATAGTAGCAAAATGAACATAGCCATGAGGGGCTAGCAGATGCATCTGGAGCAATAATTACGTATCATCCTGGCTACCACAACTAACTTTATCATTCCAGCTAAACAAAAGAAACACTTGTCACAAGTATGAACAACTACTACTGTCCTCTCCACAGCGTTAAATCTATACCATGCAAAGGGAAAACAATTCCCACATTTTCAGGGGTACCAAACAGACACATCTGATTCACTAACTGCTGTATATTGCTCTACCCATTTGTCAAGTCCCCTTGTAATCTCCCCTCCCTAACCCGTAACACTCAGTTACCCTTATAGCAGTGCCCGTCTGACCAGTAACTGACCTGTCTGCTGTTATGAGTCTTGAGTCTAGTCGTTGTTTGTCTTTCTCTTACAGTGTGTGGTCAAGTTGACTCATGACAGCTGCTTATTGAGATGTGGTTATCGATGAGTCACTGTTTCTTTTCAAAGGAATGTTGTCTTTCAAGGAGTGCATTGCATCAAAGAGAAGCAAATATGACTTGAAAACTGTTGTTGTGTGACTGCACCACTGGGTTGTTGTGTGACTGCACAACTAGGTTGTTGTGTGACTGCACCACTAGGTTGTTGTGTGACTGCACCACTAGGTTGTTGTCTGACTGCACAACTAGGTTGTTGTGTGACTGCACAACTGGGTTGTTGTGTGACTGCACCACTGGGTTGTTGTGTGACTGCACAACTGGGTTGTTGTGTGACTGCACCACTGGGTTGTTGTGTGACTGCACCACTATGTTGTTGTGTGACTGCACCACTGGGTTGTTGTGTGACTGCACCACTGGGTTGTTGTGTGACTGCACCACTGGGTTGTTGTGTGACTGCACCACTGGGTTGTTGTGTGACTGCACCACTAGGTTGTTGTGTGACTGCACAGCTGGGTTGTTGTGTGACTGCACAACTGGGTTGTTGTGTGACTGCACCACTGGGTTGTTGTGTGACTGCACAACTAGGTTGTTGTGTGACTGCACAGCTGGGTTGTTGTGTGACTGCACAACTAGGTTGTTGTCTGACTGCACAACTAGGTTGTTGTGTGACTGCACAACTAGGTTGTTGTGTGACTGCACAACTATGTTGTTGTGTGACTGCACAACTATGTTGTTGTGTGACTGCACAACTATGTTGTTGTGTGACTGCACAACTATGTTGTGTGACTGCACAACTGGGTTGTTGTGTGACTGCACAAGTGGGTTTTTGTGTGACTGCACAACTGGGTTGTTGTGTGACTGCACCACTGGGTTGTTGTGTGACTGCACAACTGGGTTGTTGTGTGACTGCACCACTGGGTTGTTGTGTGACTTGTGTGACTGCACAACTGGGTTGTTGTGTGACTGCACAACTAGGTTGTTGTGTGACTGCACAACTGGGTTGTTGTGTGACTGCACCACTAGGTTGTTGTGTGACTGCACAACTAGGTTGTTGTGTGACTGCACCACTGGGTTGTTGTGTGACTGCACCACTGGGTTGTTGTGTGACTGCACCACTGGGTTGTTGTGTGACTGCACAACTAGGTTGTTGTGTGACTGCACAGCTGGGTTGTTGTGTGACTGCACAACTATGTTGTTGTGTGACTGCACAGCTGGGTTGTTGTGTGACTGCACAGCTGGGTTGTTGTGTGACTGCACAACTAGGTTGTTGTGTGACTGCACCACTAGGTTGTTGTGTGACTGAACCACTAGGTTGTTGTGTGACTGCACAGCTGGGTTGTTGTGTGACTGCACAACTGGGTACATTTGAGATTGATAGTGTCTGAGGAAAGTCCTGAATGTCACTTGCGGAAGATACCATGCAGACGGCGGCCTCAGTCAAGTGAATATACAGGGGCAGAAATGGATTGACACGAACACCCACAAAAGCATTTACATCAAGTTAGGAAGAGAATGTAGAGAGTAGTGTAACGGTATAGCAGAGTTAAGAGCTACAACAACTGATAGATGGAAAGGCTGGACCAGATGATGCAGTAGTGTACACTGATGGTTCTGTTCATCGGGGTGTAAGATCTGGCTGGGGATTTTCAGCTAGAATGAAGGGAAACATTGCGGAAGAACAAAATAGTGCTTTTTTATCTACAACTTCAGCATGAGAATGGAAGTGGGGGTAATCACTGCAGCTCTGAAGTGGATGGCAGAAAACAAAGTTACAGGAGGAATTATTGTGTCTGATTCTCAGTTGGCATTGCGGAAGGTTCAAAATTCAAAAAGGACTAATGTGGCATGAGTGGATACCATACAGCAGTACGCCAACATTGCAGGGAACTAATGTGGCATGAGTGGACACCATACAGCAGTACGCCAACATTGCAGGGAACTAATGTGGCATGAGTAGATACCATGCAGCAGTATGCCAACATTGCAAGGAACTAATGTGGCATGAGTAGATACCATACAGCAGTACGCCAACATTGCAGGGAACTAATGTGGCATGAGTGGACACCATACAGCAGTACGCCAACATTGCAGGGAACTAATGTGGCATGAGTGGATACCATGCAGCAGTATGCCAACATTGCAGGGAACTAATGTGGCATGAGTGGACACCATACAGCAGTATGCCAACATTGCAGGGAACTAATGTGGCATGAGTGTATACCATGCAGCAGTATGCCAACATTGCAGGGAACTAATGTGGCATGAGTGGATACCATGCAGCAGTATGCCAACATTGCAGGGAACTAATGTGGCATGAGTGGATACCATGCAGCAGTACACCAACATTGCAGGGAATCGCAGGGGTTTGAGGGAATGAAAAAGTGGATTTTCTGGCTACAAAAGCGAAAGCTATGGAAACACTTAGTCTGGACAAGGGAGATAATCTAAACGACTTTTGATAGAAGACAGATTAGATGACATAACATGTGCAAGAATATGTAAACGAGGAATTAAGTGTGGATCCGGCAAGGAAGGATGGATTAGAGGAAGAGAACAATGTGTTAATAATTAGTGTGCTAGGGAAACAGCATTTACACCCTGCGTCATTTGCTGCGGGAGACGGAGCATTTATGGCTATGCCTAGTGTGCTATGATGTTGATTATTAAATCAATAATCAGTAATCAGTAGTGTTTCCTTTCTGTGATGGTGTTTTTTAGGCATCGCCGTTGTGCGTCTCACATTGGATAAACACCGACCTCCTTATGGTTGATACTTTTAGGTGAAAACAAAAATAAAAACAGCCAGCACCAACGACGCGCCTTTTGCTTTTGAAGCATGAAAAAGTATTCAGCACAGGAGGAAGGGTTTGCACTGACCTTACTTAGCACAGTGGAACATGCCTACCATGAGGTCTGTTGCAGAGAAAGGGTTTGCACTGACCTTACTTAGCACAGTGGAACATGCCTACTGTAGGGTCTGTTGCAGAGAAAGGGTTTGCACTGACCTTACTTAGCACAGTGAAACATGCCTATTGTGAGGTCTGTAGCAGAGAAAGGGTTTACACTGACCTTACTTAGCACAGTGGAACATGCCTACTGTAGGGTCTGTTGCAGAGAAAGGGTTTGCACTGACCTTACTTAGCACAGTGAAACATGCCTATTGTGAGGTCTGTAGCAGAGAAAGGGTTTACACTGACCTTACTTAGCACAGTGGAACATGCCTACTGTAGGGTCTGTTGCAGAGAAAGGGTTTGCACTGACCCTACTTAGCGCAGTGGAACATGCCTATTGTGAGGTCTGTAGCAGAGAAAGGGTTTGCACTGACCTTACTTAGCGCAGTGGAACATGCCTACTGTGAGGTCTGTAGCAGAGAAAAGATTTGCACTGACCTTACTTAGCGCAGTGGAACATGCCTACTGTGAGGTTTGTAGCAGAGAAAGGGTTTGCACTGACCTTACTTGGAGCAGTGGAACATGCCTATTGTGAGGTCTGTAGCAGAGACAGGGTTAACTCTACCAAACAGATGTACGGCTTCTGTGGTCATGTCCTAATCTGCCATTAAACCACAGAACCTACGAGATAAAACGCGTCACAAACTAAAAATAACCAACCAGTCGTGATTAAACCTCGTGATTAGTCATTGTGAATGAATGCCCACGGGTGTTTGGATTTACTCTGTGTGGTTTAACATGAAAATTGTGAGAACGACACCTTGTACTAGATTCATCAAGAAACAGCAGATCAAGTGGTTTGGCCATATTGTTAGAATGCAGCAAGATCAAATACCATCACAAGCACTACATCTCAAAAGATCAGCTACAAGAGCAAGAGGACGGCCACGAAAAACATGGATCGACAACATTAAAGACTCTACACCTTCAGGGCAAATTATTTCTTCCCATGGCGCTTAAAAGCAGAAGTGGTTTATGATGATGAACGTGAAAAAATTCTGAAAATTCACAATGAAACGAACTGCTGATGAGCCAAGCACTTCGACAGGAAAGTGAAGTAGGTCTAGGCGTTTCACAGTCTAACAGGTGATTGATACATTGATTGATTCAGACTCTGAGAAGTCAGAATTCCATGAAGAATACGTTCCCAGTGAAACAGTCAGTGAGAGCTCGAGTGATGAGAACAAGCGGGAAAACTATTGATTTAAAATAAGATCGATAGTAAGAGAAGGGGGCGTGTCCCTCAAACAGCAACATCTGGTGCTCATTAACATCATGCAATGTCTGCCAGACCAACCAAAAGCAACTGTCAGCCAAATATTCTTTGCCATGGTTCTAGTGTAGCAGATACAAGACCACTCCCATCTCAACCCCAAGGCCGCAGGAATGTCTGCGACCCTTGAAGTCCTGTTGCACCAGTGCATTTCTGACCCTATCTCTATAAGATGGCTAATATAAGTTACCAAAACTAATTCAAAAGAGTTACACTCTAAATAATCAATAGAACTCCAACAACTAGAGTCAAGATTACAGAACAATAAGAAGTTGATTAAAGTCAGTAATATCTCTCTGAACGATTAATCAATAGATAACACTGAAAATAAGCTGAATTTACAAAGCAGACAAATAGTAATATATTATTAATAAGAAGTTAACAAGCCAGTCTTATTAGCCCAGGTTAGTCTCAAATAACAAACACCTAGTTGTTTGACTTCTCATGTGCTCAATCGATTATGTCGTTTCACGATCTTGTACAATCATCTCTCATCTCAAAGTTATACTATGGCATGGGCGCCTGTAACTTGTAAACTTACATGTGCAGGACAGATTCTGTTGTTTCACGACTCAAAGTTATTCTTCTGCATATGCGCCTGTAACTTTCCAGGTCAATATCTTCGCTGTCGTCACTCTCCTAGTCGACTTTATGGTATGGGCACCTGTTGACTCTCTAAGCACAATCTGTCTCTCTCAGTCCTTGCTTTAGCATAGTTACTTTTTCTAAGTAACGCACACCTTTGCCGTTTGTCCTACTTCTTCAAGCTGACTCAGAGTTCAGCCACTCTTTAATATATGCAAATTAGTCCCTGTGCCTCATCCGGGTTGCTGTCCTTAGACAACCTATTAGTTTCCTGCTTCCCGCTCCTCTGTCTCCAGATTTCCATAGTTCCTTGTAAGCCTTTTTAGGTCAATACCCTCGTAACTTCTGTGAGCTGGGCCATCCTCTCTTAATGTTGCGATTTTTCCAGAGCTTTGTAGGTGTATGCTGCTCTAGCAGTTTCCGTTTCTGGGATTTTTTCATAGCTTGATTAGTTATGCAAATTCTCAACTATCGTTCTTAGTTCAATTGTCCCTTAAAGGTCATCCTACAGCATCTTTGTCTGTTTTTATAGGCCAATGCTGTGTGTGCTTTTAACCATTGCTTTTTCCTTCCGCAATTTATAAGTATATTGGCCTACAAAGTTCCTGTCCTAGCTCTGTCCCGCACTTACGTCTTTGTTTGAGTCAATGCCCTCAGGGTTGTTATATTATACTATGTAGCGACCTTCTTATTCTCAAGTGACTCTATACCTCCTTATTCTTCTGTTGTATTCCTTTCCTTCCATTCTCTCCTTGTAATATTTGTGACTGTAATCAGTGCTGTTACACCAACCCCATCTGTTAAAGAACTAGTTTGTCTTACACCAACCCCACCTGTTAAAGAACCAGTGTCTCTTACACCAACCCCACCTGTTAAAGAACCAGTGTCTCTTACACCAACTCCACCTGTTAAAGAACTAGTGTCTCTTACACCAACTCCACCTGTTAAAGAACCAGTGTCTCTTACACCAACCCCACCTGTTAAAGAACTAGTGTCTCTTACACCAACCCCACCTGTTAAAGAACTAGTGTCTCTTACACCAACCCCATCTGTTAAAGAACTAGTGTCTCTTACATCAACCCCACCTGTTAAAGAACTAGTTTGTCTTACACCAACCCCACCTGTTAAAGAACTAGTGTCTCTTACACCAACCCCACCTGTTAAAGAACTAGTGTCTCTTACACCAACCCCACCTGTTAAAGAACTAGTGTCTCTTACACCAACCCCACCTGTTAAAGAAATAGTGTCTCTTACACCAACCCCACCTGTTAAAGAACCAGTGTCTTTTACACCAACCCCACCTGTTAAAGAACCAGTGTCTCTTACACCAACTCCACCTGTTAAAGAAATAGTGTCTCTTACACCAACCCCACCTGTTAAAGAACTAGTTTGTCTTACACCAACTCCACCTGTTAAAGAACTAGTTTGTCTTACACCAACTCCACCTGTTAAAGAAATAGTGTCTCTTACACCAACCCCACCTGTTAAAGAACTAGTGTCTCTTACACCAACCCCACCTGTTAAAGAACTAGTGTCTCTTACACCAACCCCACCTGTTAAAGAACTAGTTTGTCTTACACCAACCCCACCTGTTAAAGAACTAGTGTCTCTTACACCAACCCCACCTGTTAAAGAACTAGTGTCTCTTACACCAACCCCACCTGTTAAAGAACTAGTGTCTCTTACACCAACCCCACCTGTTAAAGAACTAGTGTCTCTTACACCAACCCCACCTGTTAAAGAACTAGTGTCTCTTACACCAACCCCACCTGTTAAAGAACTACTTTGTCTTACACCAACCCCACCTGTCAAAGAACTACTTTGTCTTACACCAACCCCACCTATTAAAGAACTAGTGTCTCTTACACCAACCCCACCTGTTAAAGAACTAGTGTCTCTTACACCAACCCCACCTGTTAAAGAACTAGTTTGTCTTACACCAACCCCACCTGTTAAAGAACTAGTTTGTCTTACACCAACCCCACAAAGTTAAAGAACTAGTTTATGTCTTACACCAACCCCACCTATTAAAGAACTAGTGTCTCTTACACTTAACTCCACCTAAAATAAAGAACTAGTTTCTCTTACACAAAGGGCCACTTGTTAAAGAACTAGTTTGTCTTACACCAACCCCACCTGTTAAAGACACTAGTGTCTCTTACACTTATGTCACCTGTTAAAGAACTAGTTTGTCTTACACAAAGGGCACCTGTTAAAGAACTAGTGTCTCTTACACCAACTCCACCTGTTAAAGAACTAGTTTGTCTTACACCAACCCCACCTGTTAAAGAACTAGTTTGTCTTACACCAAAAGGGCCACCTGTTAAAGAAAATAGTGTCTCTTACACACAACCCACCTGTTTAAAGAACTACTTTAGTCTTACACCAACCCCACTAAAGAACTAGTTTGTCTTACACCAACTCCACCTGTTAAAGAACTAGTTTGTCTTACACCAACTCCACCTGTTAAAGAAATAGTGTCTCTTACACCAACTCCACCTGTTAAAGAACTAGTGTCTCTTACACCAACCCCACCTGTTAAAGAACTAGTGTCTCTTACACCAACCCCACCTGTTAAAGAACTAGTGTCTCTTACACCAACCCCACCTGTTAAAGAAATAGTGTCTCTTACACCAACCCCACCTGTTAAAGAAATAGTGTCTCTTACACCAACTCCACCTGTTAAAGAAATAGTGTCTCTTACACCAACTCCAATGGCATTTTATCAATGTACATGTAAGTGCCAGTTAGCTTATGTCAGTTGAATAGAGAGACAGCATAGGCACAAAGGGCCAGTTAGCTTATGTCAGTCAAATAGAGAGACAGCATAGACACAAAGTAGCAGTTAGCTTATGTCAGTAAAATAGAGAGACAGCATAGACACAAAGTGCCAGTTAGCTTATGTCAGTCAAACAGAGAGACAGCATAGACACAAAGTGGCAGTTAGCAGATCACATCCCTAAATGGCTGCATTACACAAATCAAGGAAGAGCCCACAAGTATTTTAACTAAGATGAAAGAAACCAAATCTCCTACAGAAGGTCACCTGCTTGAGTCCACACATGTTAACCTTGATCTTCTGGCAAGCTGATGAACAATGTATCAAGAGATACCATGTGATTTATGTATTTCAGCGGGAAGAATTTATTTTGTATGCTTCATTACATGTTAATGTAACTGTGTAACAACATAGCTGACTGCAGTGAAATATTCCAGGCAAACAATTGTTTTTGTCTGTCTTACTACCCAAAACACATTTTTGAAAAAAATAATCTCAGTACACATTAAACCACACAGACAACAAATGTACTCACTTCTGCATGTAGTACTGCTCCAGTTGGGCATAGTCTGTACCAAAACCCTTCTGTAACATAAACTGCTGCACTGCCGGGTTGGACTTCCTGTAGATACACAAACAAGATGTCTCTTGAACTATTCAAGGTCATTAGTAGACCTTTACTGGAGAATCCATCATCATGTTAACGAAAGTTTCCCCGCACTTGTATCTGTTCATGCTGTTTTCATCATGTTAAAGAAAGTTTCCCCGCACTTGTATCTGTTCATGCTGTTTTCATCATGTTAAAGAAAGTTTCCCTGCACCTGTATCTGTTCATGTTGTTTTCATCATGTTAAAGAAAGTTTCCCTGCACTTGTATCTGTTCATGTTGTTTTCATCATGTTAAAGAAAGTTTTCCCGCACTTGTATCTGTTCATGCTGTTTTCATCATGTTAAAGAAAGTTTCCCTGCACTTGTATCTGTTCATGCTGTTTTCATCATGTTAAAGAAAGTTTCCCTGCACCTGTATCTGTTCATGCTGTTTTCATCATGTTAAAGAAAGTTTCCCTGCACCTGTATCTGTTCATGCTGTTTTCATCATGTTAAAGAAAGTTTCCCTGCACCTGTATCTGTTCATGCTGTTTTCATCATGTTAAAGAAAGTTTCCCTGCACCTGTATCTGTTCATGCTGTTTTCATCATGTTAACGAAAGTTTCCCTGCACCTGTATCTGTTCATGCTGTTTTCATCATGTTAAAGAAAGTTTCCCTGCACCTGTATCTGTTCATGCTGTTTTCATCATGTTAAAGAAAGTTTCCCTGCACCTGTATCTGTTCATGCTGTTTTCATCATGTTAAAGAAAGTTTCCCTGCACTTGTATCTGTTCATGCTGTTTTCATCATGTTAAAGAAAGTTTCCCTGCACTTGTATCTGTCCATGCTGTTTTCATCATGTTAAAGAAAGTTTCCCTGCACCTGTATCTGTTCATGCTGTTTTCATCATGTTAAAGAAAGTTTCCCTGCATCTGTATCTGTCCATGCTGTTTTCATCATGTTAAAGAAAGTTTCCCTGCATCTGTATCTGTCCATGCTGTTTTCATCATGTTAAAGAAAGTTTCCCTGCATCTGTATCTGTCCATGCTGTTTTCATCATGTTAAAGAAAGTTTCCCTGCACCTGTATCTGTTCATGCTGTTTTCATCATGTTAACGAAAGTTTCCCTGCACCTGTATCTGTTCATGCTGTTTTCATCATGTTAACGAAAGTTTCCCTGCACCTGTATCTGTTCATGCTGTTTTCATCATGTTAACGAAAGTTTTCCTGCACCTGCATCTGTTCATGCTGTTTTCATAATGTTAAAGAAAGTTTCCCTGCACCTGTATCTGTTCATGCTGTTTTCATCATGTTAAAGAAAGTTTCCCTGCACCTGTATCTGTTCTTGCTGTTTTCATCATGTTAAAGAAAGTTTCCCTGCATCTGTATCTGTCCATGCTGTTTTCATCATGTTAAAGAAAGTTTCCCTGCACCTATATCTGTTCATGCTGTTTTCATTATTCTTCTATACAACCATATCACCACAGATTCCACATAATATTTCACTAACTGCCCACTTCCATATATCAAGACTGGCTCTGTACAGACAGTCTCATCTCAATTGTCCATGATCTACTTCCATATATCAAGACTGGTTCTGTACAGACTCTCATCTCAATTGTCCATGATCCACTTCCATATATCAAGACTGGCTGTACAGACAGTCTCATCTCAATTGTCCATGATCTACTTCCATATATCAAGAATGGCTGTACAGACAGTCTCATCTCAATTGTCCATGATCCACTTCCATATATCAAGACTGACTGTACAAACTCTCTCATCTCAATTGTCCATGATCCACTTCCATATATCAAGACTGACTGTACAAACTCTCTCATCTCAATTGTCCATGATCCACTTCCATATATCAAGACTGGCTTTACAGACTCTCTCATCTCAATTGTCCATGATCTACTTCCATATATCAAGACTGGCTCTGTACAGACTCTCTCATCTCAATTGTCCATGATCTACTTCCATATATCAAGACTGGCTGTACAGACTCTCTCATCTCAATTGTCCATGATCTACTTCCATATATCAAGACTGACTGTACAGACTCTCTCATCTCAATTGTCCATGATCCACTTACATATATCAAGACTGGCTGTACAGACTCTCTCATCTCAATTGTCTATGATCCACTTTCATTTATCAAGACTGACTGTATAGACTGTCACATCTCAATTGACAAAGATACATTACACCTCAGAATGTTCATCCAGTACAGTCAACATGCAACAGGTACAGTCAACATGTGACAGGTACAGTCAACATGGGACAGGTACAGTCAACATGGGACAGGTACAGTCAACATGGGACAGGTACAGTCAACATGGGACAGGTACAGTCAACATGGGACAGGTACAGTCAAAATGGGACAAGTACAGTCAACATGTGACAGGTACAGTCAACATGGGACAGGTTCAGTCAACATGGGACAGGTCCAGTCAACATGGGACAGGTCCAGTCAACATGGGACAAATACAGTCAATATGGGACAGGTCCAGTCAACATGGGACAGGTACAGTCAACATGGGACAAATACAGTCAATATGGGACAGGTACAGTCAACATGGACAGGTGCAGTAACTCGAGACAACTACAGTCAACATGGGACAGGTACAGTCAACATGGGACAGACATGGGATAGGTACAGTCAAAATGGGACAGGTGCAGTCAACATGTGATAGGTACTGTCAACATAGGACAAGTAGGACATGTCAACATGTGATAGGTACTGTCAACATAGGACAAGTAGGACATGTCAACATGTGATAGGTACAGTCAACATAGGACAAGTACAGTCAACATGTGACAAGTACAATCAACATGGGACAGGTACGGTCACACAACAGACCTAGACATGCCAAAAACACAACAGACAGTTTACATGAAATAGATAACAGACAACATTAGACCGGTACAACAGACCTATACATTAGACAAGACACAACAGACCTATACATTAGACCCACACAACAACACCCCAACATTAGACCCACACAACAGACCTTTACATTAGACCCACACAACAGACCTTACATTAGACCCACACAACATTAGACCTAGCTAACACAGACCTAAAAATTAGACCAACACAACACGACCTTTACATTAACAGACCTTACATAGACCCACACAACAGACAGAACATCATTACATTAGACCCACACAACAGACCTTTACATTAGACCCACACAACAGACCTTTACATTAGACCCACACAACACTATACATTAGACCCACACAACAGAACCTATACATTAGACCCACACAACACAACATACCTATACATTAGACCCACACAACAGACCTTTAAATTAGACCCAAACAACAGACCTATACATTAGTGCCACACAACAGACCTATACATTATACCCACACAACAGACCTTTAAATTAGACCCAAACAACAGACCTATACATTAGACCCACACAACATACCTATACATTAGACCCAAACAACAGACCTATACATTAGAGCCACATAATAGACCTATACATTAGACCCACACAACAGACCTATACATTAGACCCACACAACAGACCTATACATTAGACCCACACAACAGACCTATACATTAGACCCACACAACAGACCTATACATTAGACCCACACAACAGACCTATACATTAGACCCACACAACAGACCTATACATTAGACCCATACATTAGACACACACAACAGACCTTTACATTAGACCCACACAACAGACCTATACATTAGACCCACACAACAGACCTATACATTAGACCCACACAACAGACCTATACATTAGACCAACACAACAGACCTATACATTAGACCCACACAACAGACCTTTACATTAGACCCACACAACAGACCTATACATTAGACCCACACAACAGACCTTTACATTAGACCCACACAACAGACCTTTACATTAGACCCACACAACAGACCTATACATTAGACCCACACAACAGACCTATACATTAGACCCACGCAACAGACCTATACATTAGACCCACACAACAGACCTATACATTAGACCCACACAACAGACCTACCTATACATTAGACCCACACAACAGACCTATACATTAGACCCACACAACAGACCTTTACATTAGACCCACACAACAGACCTATACATTAGACCCACACAACAGACCTATACATTAGACCTATACATTAGACACACACAACAGACCTATACATTAGACCCACACAACAGACCTTTACATTAGACCCACACAACAGACCTATACATTAGACCCACACAACAGACCTTTACATTAGACCCACACAACAGACCTATACATTAGACCCACACAACAGACCTATACATTAGACCCAAACAACAGACCTATACATTAGTGCCACATAATAGACCTATACATTAGACCCACACAATATACCTATACATTAGACCCATACAACAGACCTTTACATTAAAACCACACAACAGACCTTTACATTAGACCCACACAACAGACCTTAACATTAGACCCACACAACAGACCTACAAATTAGACCCACACAACAGACCTTTACATTAGATCCACACAACAGACCTATACATTATACCCACACAACAGACCTACAAATTAGACCCACACAACAGACCTTACATTAGACCCACACACAGACCTATACAGACCTTTACATATACATTAGACCCACACAACAGACCTATACATTATACCCACACAACAGACCTTTACATTAGACCCACACAACAGACCTTTACATTAGACCCACACAACAGACCTATACATTAGACCCACACAACAGACCTATACATTAGACCCACACAACAGACCTTTACATTAGACCCACACAACAGACCTTTACATTAGACCCACACAACAGACCTATACATTAGACCCACACAACAGACCTATACATTAGACCCACACAACAGACCTATACATTAGTCCCACACAACAGACCTACCTATAAATTAGAACCACACAACAGATCTACCTATACATTAGACCCACACAACAGATCTACCTATACATTAGACCTATACAACAGACCTTTACATTAGACCTATACAACAGATCTTTACAACAGACCTTTACATTAGACCCACACATCAGATATATACATTAGACCCACACATCAGATCTATACATTAGACACACACAACAGACCTATACATTAGACCCACACAACAGATTTATACATTAGACCCACACAACAGACCTATACATAAGACATACACAACAGACCTATACATTAGACACACACAACAGACCTATAATTAGACCCACACAACAGACCCATACAACAGACCTATACATTAGACCCACACAACAGACCTTTACATTATACCCACACAACAGACCTTTACATTAGACCCACACAACAGATCTATACATTAGACACACACAACAGACCTATACATTAGACCCACACATCAGATCTATACATTAGACTCACACAACAGATCTATACATTAGACACACACAACAGATCTATAAATTAGACCCACACATCAGATCTATACATTAGACCCACACAACAGACTTTTACATTAGACACACACAACAGACCTATACATTAGACCCACACAACAGACCTATACATTAGACCCACACAACAGACCTATACATTAGACCCACACATCAGCTATACATTAGACCCACACATCAGCTATACATTAGACCCACACAACAGATCTATACTTTAGCTCAACATAACAGACCTATACATTAGGTCCTCAAAGTAGATTTAGACCAGGTCCAAAGTAAAGGCAAAAACAGTCCTGCATTTCAGCTTGTAACATATTGAGACAACAACAAAATGTTGCACTGACATCAATATCGAATCAAACTCTATCAGCACTCAAACAGACACAGAATCACACTCTACCAGCACTGTGGCACAGAACCACACTCTACCAACACTAAGACACAGAATCCCTCTATACCAACATTGAGACTCAATCACACTCTACCAGCACTGAGACACAGAACCACGCTCTACCAACACACAGACATAGATTGGCACTCAACCAGCACTGAGACACAAAATGATCCTCTAACAATACTCAGAAACAGAATGGCATTTTACCAACACTCAGACACAGAATTACATTCAACCAGCACTCAGATAGACATAGAATTCCACTCTACCAACATTCAGACATAGAATGGCACTCAACCAGCACTAAGACACATAATCCCACTATACCAACACAACAGAACTACACTCTACTAACACTCCGACACAGAATGACACTCTACCAACAATCAGAAACAGAACCACACTCTACTAACACTCAGACACAGAATCACACTCTACCAGGACTAAGACACAGAATGGCAGCACTCTACCAACACTGAGACACAGAATCATACTCGACCAGCACTGGGGCACAGAATCCTTCTATACCAACACTGAGACACAGAACCACGCTCTACCAACACTCAGACACAGATTGGCACTCTACCAGCACTGAGACACAAAATGGCAATCTAACAACACTCAGAAACAGAATGGCATTTTACCAACACTCAGACACAGAATTACATTCGACCAGCACTCAGATAGACATAGAATTCCACTCTACCAACACTCAGATATAGAATGGCACTCTACCAACACTCAGACATAGAATGGCACTCTACCAACACTCAGAAACAGAATCATACTCTACCAGCACTCAGACACAGAATCACACTCTACCAGCACCCAGACAGAGAAGCACACTCTACCAGCACTCAGACACAGAATAACACTAGACCAGCCCTCAGACACAGAATCCTACTATACCAACAATGAAACACAAAACCACACTCTATCAACACTCAGACAGAGAATCCTACTCTACCAACACTCAGAAACAGAATCATACTCTACCAACACTCAGAAACAGAATCATACTCTACCAACACTCAGAAACAGAATCATACTCTACCAACACTCAGAAACAGAATCATACTCTACCAACACTCAGAAACAGAATCATACTCTACCAGCACTCAGACACAGAATCAAACTCTACAAGCACTTAGATAGAGAATACCACTCTACAACACAGAATTCCACTCTACCAACACTCAGACAGAGAATCCTACTCTACCAGCACTCAGACATAGAATTACACTCTACCATCATTCAGACAGAGAATCCTACTCTACCAGCACTCAGACATAGAATTACACTCTACCATCATTCAGACACAGAGTCCCACTCTACTAGTACTGAGACAGACACAGAGTCCCACTCTACCAGCACTCAAACAGACATAGAATCTCACTCTACCGGCACTCAGACAGACAAAGAATTAAATACCTGGTGAATCAAACTCTACCAGCGTTCGAATGCCCAAAATACGTGCATACTCAATCACCTCTGCCACATCGGATGGTGTGTACACGTGGCTCTGTGGGTTATAGGCGCCCTGAAGTACACACAAGTTTATGCGTATGTGTATATGACAAAACTGGTTCAGTTACACTTACACAACACACACAACACATTATGAGATAGTTGGTTTTTGGACACAATATTCTTGTCTCTACAGCACTTGTATTAGTGAAAGCCACTGTGATGTAGTTGCTAGATTCTTACCTAAGCTCTTGGGTTCAAATCCACATCAAAACAGACTGTTGTCAAAAGTGACCTTGTTTCCAAGGTCGACACATTCTAGAATGGATACTGGGTAATGTCATGGGAAGTAAAAGCAACTGGCAGAATGTTGACCACTTTAGCCATTAAATGCTGATTGGTCTAGAAAGATATAGATCTGGCAGCAGACGCCTGCTGTGTCACTGGCTCAACAATGGCTCTTGACCTTCATGTTGTAAAGTGCATTATTCTAACTGGCATCATTTAATCTATTCCAGTTTACTTCTGTATTGTGTCTTTCCTATACAGTCTTCTAAAATGGAGAACTTAACTTTTCAGATAAAGAGGGAACTACTGATCTAAAGCATCAGCACTGCCCGGGAGAAGGACATAGAACTACTGATCTAGAGCAACAGTGCTGACTGGTAGAAAGACAAGGAACTACTGGTCTAGAGCAACAGTGCTGACTGATAGAAAGACAAGGAACTACTGATCTAGAGCATCAGTGCTGACTGATAGAAAGACAAGGAACTACTGATCTATAGCATCAGTGCTGACTGGTAGAAAGACAAGGAACTACTGGTCTAGAGCAACAGTGCTGAGTAATAGAAAGACAAGGAACTACTGATCTAGAGCAACAGTGCTGACTGGTAGAAAGACAAGGAACTACTGGTCTAGAGCAACAGTGCTGAGTAATAGAAAGACAAGGAACTACTGATCTAGAGCATCAGTGCTGACTGGTAGAAAGACAAGGAACTACTGGTCTAGAGCATCAGTGCTGACTGATAGAAAGACAAGGAACTACTGGTCTAGAGCATCAGTGCTATTTGGTAGAAAGACAAGGAACTACTGATCTAGAGCATCAGTGCTGACTGGTAGAAAGACAAGGAACTACTGGTCTAGAGCATCAGTGCTGACTGATAGAAAGACAAGGAACTACTGGTCTAGAGCATCAGTGCTATTTGGTAGAAAGACAAGGAACTACTGATCTAGAGCATCAGTGCTATTTGGTAGAAAGACAAGGAACTATTGATCTAGAGCAACAGTGCTGACTGATAGAAAGACAAGGAACTACTGATCTAGAGCATCAGTGCTGACTGGTAGAAAGACAAGGAACTGATCTAGAGCAACAGCTGACTGGTAGAAAGACAAGGAACTACTGATCTAGAGCAACAGTGCTATTTGGTAGAAAGACAAGGAACTATTGATCTAGAGCAACAGTGCTGACTGGTAGAAAGACAAGGAACTATTGATCTAGAGCATCAGTGCTATTTGGTAGAAAGACAAGGAACTACTGATCTAGAGCATCAGTGCTGACTGATAGAAAGACAAGGAACTACTGGTCTAGAGCATCAGTGCTGACTGGTAGAAAGACAAGGAACTACTGGTCTAGAGCAACAGTGCTGAGTAATAGAAAAACAAGGAACTACTGATCTAGAGCATCAGTGCTGACTGGTAGAAAGACAAGGAACTACTGGTCTAGAGCAAAAGTGCTGAGTAATAGAAAGACAGGGAACTACTGATCTAGAGCAACAGTGCTGACTGGTAGAAAGACAAGGAACTACTGGTCTAGAGCAACAGTGCTGAGTAATAGAAAGACAAGGAACTACTGATCTAGAGCATCAGTGCTGACTGGTAGAAAGACAAGGAACTACTGATCTAGAGCATCAGTGCTGAATGGTAGAAAGACAAGGAACTACTGATCTAGAGCATCAGTGCTGACTGGTAGAAAGACAAGGAACTACTGGTCTAGAGCATCAGTGCTGACTGATAGAAAGACAAGGAACTACTGGTCTAGAGCATCAGTGCTATTTGGTAGAAAGACAAGGAACTACTGATCTAGAGCATCAGTGCTATTTGGTAGAAAGACAAGGAACTATTGATCTAGAGCAACAGTGCTGACTGATAGAAAGACAAGGAACTACTGATCTAGAGCATCAGTGCTGACTGGTAGAAAGACAAGGAACTGATCTAGAGCAACAGCTGACTGGTAGAAAGACAAGGAACTACTGATCTAGAGCAACAGTGCTATTTGGTAGAAAGACAAGGAACTATTGATCTAGAGCAACAGTGCTGACTGGTAGAAAGACAAGGAACTATTGATCTAGAGCATCAGTGCTATTTGGTAGAAAGACAAGGAACTACTGATCTAGAGCATCAGTGCTGACTGATAGAAAGACAAGGAACTACTGGTCTAGAGCATCAGTGCTGACTGGTAGAAAGACAAGGAACTACTGATCTAGAGCATCAGTGCTATTTGGTAGAAAGACAAGGAACTACTGATCTAGAGCAACAGTGCTGACTGGTAGAAAGACAAGGAACTACTGATCTAGAGCATCAGTGCTGACTGGTAGAAAGACAAGGAACTACTGATCTAGAGCAACAGTGCTGACTGATAGAAAGACAAGGAACTACTGATCTAGAGCAACAGTGCTGACTGATAGAAAGACAAGGAACTATTGATCTAGAGCAACAGTGCTGACTGGTAGAAAGACAAGGAACTACTGGTCTAGAGCAACAGTGCTGAGTAATAGAAAGACAAGGAACTATTGATCTAGAGCATCAGTGCTGATTGGTAGAAAGACAAGGAACTACTGATCTAGAGCATCAGTGCTGACTAGTAGAAAGACAAGGAACTACTGGTCTAGAGCAACAGTGCTGACTGATAGAAAGACAAGGAACTACTGGTCTAGAGCAACATTGCTGACTGATAGAAAGACAAGGAACTACTGATCTAGAGCATCAGTGCTGACTGGTAGAAAGATAAGGAACTACTGGTCTAGAGCAACAGTGCTGACTGATAGAAAGACAAGGAACTACTGATCTAGAGCATCAGTGCTGACTGATAGAAAGACAAGGAACTACTGGTCTAGAGCATCAGTGCTGACTGGTAGAAAGACAAGGAACTACTGATCTAGAGCAACAGTGCTGACTGGTAGAAAGACAAGGAACTACTGATCTAGAGCATCAGTGCTGACTGGTAGAAAGACAAGGAACTACTGATCTAGAGCAACAGTGCTGACTGGTAGAAAGACAAGGAACTATTGATCTAGAGCATCAGTGCTGACTGGTAGAAAGACAAGGAACTACTGATCTAGAGCAACAGTGCTGACTGGTAGAAAGACAAGGAACTACTGGTCTAGAGCAACAGTGCTGACTGATAGAAAGACAAGGAACTACTGGTCTAGAGCAACAGTGCTGAGTAATAGAAAGACAAGGAACTATTGATCTAGAGCATCAGTGCTGATTGGTAGAAAGACAAGGAACTATTGATCTAGAGCATCAGTGCTGATTGGTAGAAAGACAAGGAACTACTGATCTAGAGCATCAGTGCTGACTGATAGAAAGACAAGGAACTACTGGTCTAGAGCAACAGTGCTGAGTAATAGAAAGACAAGGAACTATTGATCTAGAGCATCAGTGCTGATTGGTAGAAAGACAAGGAACTACTGGTCTAGAGCAACAGTGCTGACTGATAGAAAGACAAGGAACTACTGATCTAGAGCATCAGGGCTGACTAGTAGAAAGACAAGGAACTACTGATCTAGAGCAACAGTGCTGACTGATAGAAAGACAAGGAACTACTGATCTAGAGCAACAGTGCTGAGTAATAGAAAGACAAGGAACTATTGATCTAGAGCAACAGTGCTGACTGGTAGAAAGGCAAGGAACTACTGATCTAGAGCATCAGTGCTGATTGATAGAAAGACAAGGAACTACTGATCTAGAGAATATATGTATATGTATAAAGTGATCATATATGTAGGTTGGTGAGAATATATGTAGACTTCTGAACGTATATATAGCCTAATGAACGTATATATGGTTAACATAGAGACTATGTGACTGACCTGAAGGCTGAGATCTGCGAATGTCTGGCTGACGTACGGAAAAGACTGGTCATCAACAATGTGCCAGTGGAAGACGTTTAGCTTGTTCTGTGCCATGGCATCCTAGATGATGAAGATGATGATAGTAGTGATATTTTGACCATTTTCCAAATTGAGTCAGGTATTTTCACACATTTCAATTCAAGCAGTATCAATTGTTACATTTCAAACTAATAAATCAGACATTTTTTCTGAAGAAAAAAAAAAGAGTAACCACAAAAATTATGATCCAGTGGCAGCTGAAACATGTTAAAACCAACAGTGATGTCTCCATGGTAACACCATGACTGTGCAGGAGACAACATTAATGTCTCCATGGTAACAACATAACTGTGAAGGAGACAACATGAATGTCTCCATGGTAACAACATAACTGTGCAGGAGACAACATTAATGTCTCCATGGTAACACCATAACTGTGCAGGAGACAACATGAATGTCTCCATGGTAACAACATAACTGTGCAGGAGACATTGATGTCTCTATGGTAACAGCATAACTGTGTAGGAGACAAAACTGATGTCTCCATGGTAACAATATAACTGTGAAGGAGACAACATTGATGTCTCCATGGTAACAATATAACTGTGAAGGAGACAACATGATGTCTCAATGGTAACAATATAACTGTGAAGGAGACAAAACTGATGTCTCCATGGTAACAATATCACTGTGAAGAAGACAACAATGATGTCTCCATGGTAACAATATAACTGTACAGGAGACATTGATGTCTCTATGGTAACAATATAACTGTGTAGGAGACAAAACTAATGTCTCAATGGTAACAATAAAACTGTGAAGGAGACAACAATGATGTCTCAATGGTAACAATATAACTGTGTAGGAGACAAAACTAATGTCTCAATGGTAACAATAAAACTGTGAAGGAGACAACAATGATGTCTCAATGGTAAAAAAATTAATAAAAGTTTATTTGTGTAAGCAATCAACAATAAATTCAATAGAAATCTCCAGTCTGTGTATCTTCGTTAATCAAACACTTCATAAGTGCTTCAATATTATTTTTGCACTTGACTAACATCCCAGTCAACCACATATATGTCAGTGCTCCATTCTTTGCACTTGACTAACATCCCAGTCAACCACATATATGTCAGTGCTCCATTCTTTGCACTTGACTGACATCCCAGTCAACCACATATATGTCAGTGCTCCATTCTTTGCACTTGACTGACATCCCAGTCAACCACATATATGTCAGTGCTCCATTCTTTGCACTTGACTGACATCCCAGTCAACCACATATATGTCAGTGCTCCATTCTTTGCACTTGACTAACATCCCAGTCTACCACATATATGTCAGTGCTCCATTCTTTGCACTTGACTAACATCCCAGTCAACCACACATATGTCAGTGCTCCATTCTTTGCACTTGACTAACATCCCAGTCAACCACACATATGTCAGTGCTCCATTCTTTGCACTTGACTAACATCCCAGTCAACCATATATATGTCAGTGCTCCATTCTTTGCACTTGACTAACATCCCAGTCAACCACATATATGTCAGTGCTCCATTCTTTGCACTTGACTAACATCCCAGTCTACCACATATATGTCAGTGCTCCATTCTTTGCACTTGACTAACATCCCAGTCAACCACATATATGTCAGTGCTCCATTCTTTGCACTTGACTAACATCCCAGTCAACCACATATATGTCAGTGCTCCATTCTTTGCACTTGACTAACATCCCAGTCAACCATACCTTCCCAAGTCCTTCAATCTTTGCACCCCAATCCTTGTGTCTGGTTCTTTATATCTACCAAAATAGGCTCTGACAAAGGTCTGAATTATGTATAAGATTCGAATATGGCTCAGCTTTCTCAAAATTAATCAAAAATCTATCATATGTTTCTATCAAGATGTTACTGGAGATGAAATCTGGGTTCAAAGGTTCACAATTCTTAATAAGAAATTATTGGTTCTGCTTCAAAGCATCGCAAAAGTTCTTTACAAGCATCAGTGCACCACTGTTTCAATTCTGGGGTGAGCTGTCATGACACCCACCTTGCAAGCCCTTTGTGGTACGTCACAGATGATGTGATGAGCTGAACCTAGACTGAAGTTTTCAATACCAGGCCTTCAATGGCTGCAATCAACTCTGGGGTCACTAGTCAGGGTGCCTGACCTGGTCGCCAACAGTCTGTCCCAGAAGTCACGCTGGACTGAAACTTCCTGCTTCACTTATACACACTTGCTGGACTAAAACTTCCTGCTCCACTTATACACACTTGCTGGACTGAAACTTCCTGCTCTACTTATACACACTTGCTGGACTGAAACTTCCTGCTCTACTTATACACACTTGCTGGACTGAAACTTCCTGCTCCACTTATACACACTTGCTGTACTGAAACTTCCTACTTCACTTATACACACTTGCTGGACTGAAACTTCCTACTCCACTTATACACACTTGCTGGACTGAAACTTCCTACTCCACTTGTACACACTTGCTGGACTGAAACTTCCTGCTCCACTTGTACACACTTGCTGGACTGAAACTTCCTGCTCCACTTATACACACTTGCTGGACTGAAACTTCCTGCTCCACTTATTCACACTTGCTGGAATGACAGACCTGCATTACCACACTCAATCTTTATTTGCCCCCCAACTTCTGCAGGTTTCACCACTTCACTGATTTAAAAAAAAAAACATATAATAGAATGCTGGTTCTGCTCCTCTTTTGTGCATGTCAAAAGTGAGGCAGCTATCTTCAAACTATCACACCATGTTTGCATTGTGACATCATATACTTAACACTCTTGACAAAAAAAACTGATAAGTTACAAGACAATGGCATGGTTGCTGTAATTTTTTTCATATTGGTAACCTTTTCACTTGAAGCCCCCTCCTACTGAGATCAACCCAACTTGATTACAGTGAACAGACACGTGCAATAAATATCAACATTACTGAGAAGTTGATAAAATCAAATCACACACAATTTCTGTTCACAGATGAGTGTACTCACAAGATTCTGTAGAAGTACATGCTTTGATAAAAAGTGACGAGATGTATCCAGCAAAAGTCCTCGGTGAGCAAAACGAGGTGAATCTTGAATAAAAGTCTGGTTGACCACAAACTGGCAACGAAACAAAGTCAACATGTTATAGTTACACATCACTTGTTATAGTTGAGTCAGCTGTATGTCTTGTAGTTACATATCACTTGTTATATTTGAGTCAGCTGTATGTGTTGTAGTTACATATCACTTGTTATATTTATAGTTGAGTCAATTTTGTGTCTTGTAGTTACACATTATATATTATAGTTGAGTCAGTTTTGTGTCTTGTAGTTACACTAAATATATTATAGTAGAGTCAGTTTTGTGTCTTGTAGTTACACTAAATATATTATAGTAGAGTCAGTTTTGTGTCTTGTAGTTACACTAAATATATTATAGTTGAGTCAATTTTGTGTCTTGTAGTTACACTAAATATATTATAGTAGAGTCAGTTTTGTGTCTTGTAGTTACACTAAATATATTATAGTAGAGTCAGTTTTTGTGTCTTGTAGTTACACATTATATATTATAGTTGAGACAATTTTGTGTCTTGTAGTTACACATTATATATTATAGTTGAGTCAATTTTGTGTCTTGTAGTTACACATTATATATTATAGTTGAGCCAATTTTGTGTCTTGTAGTTACACATTATATATTATAGTTGAGTCAATTTTGTGTCTTGTAGTTACACATTATATATTATAGTTGAGTCAATTTTGTGTCTTGTAGTTACACATCATCAAGTGCCTTGCTGACTGGCATGGACAATCATGCCTCACTACAATTTGTGATCTGCAATGCATCTATCAGTGCGTGTGCTGACACCCCTCCATGCCATGACAAAAGACTTCAAGAATCTTGTCGCACTGTCCTCCTCTGTCTCTCTTTCCATGTGTCACATGTTCCAGTTTCCCTCTTCTCATAACATGACCAAAAAATGATGACTGTCTCTGTCTGATGTCTGTTGTCTTCGAGCACTAGCCTCAATTAAAACATCTGGTTTGCTCTTCTTGGCTGCGCAAGTAATTCTGACGATTCTTCTGTAAATCCACAATCTCCAAGACCTGAAGATATTGTTCAGCTTGTTTACAAGGATTCGCAGCCGTATGTTCAAACTGGCTCTATATAGCATGCGAGAATTCTTCTACTAACCTAAAATTACACTGATTTATCACACAAAATAAAAGGCTGTTTTGGCCTGTCCCATTCTTTTTTTTTTTTTAAATCTCTGTGATTCAGCTTTTATAGGATGTTATTCATGTGCCTAGATACTTATGTTTCTGTACTTGTCCTAACATAACGCCTTTGACTTTTATTTACTTTTAGGCACTTTTCTTGGAAATCACAATTACTTCTTTAATTACACGTTACATATTATAGTTGAGTCAGTTTTGTGTCTTGTAATTATACATCACATATTATAGTTGAGTCAGTTTTGTGTCTTGTAATTATACATCACATATTATAGTTAAGTCAGTTTTGTGTCTTGTAGATATACATCACATATTATAGTTGAGTCAGTTTTGTGTCTTGTAGATATACATCACATATTATAGTTGAGTCAGTTTTGTGTCTTGTAGATATACATCACATATTATAGTTGAGTCAGTTTTGTGTCTTGTAATTATACATCACATATTTATAGTTGAGTCAGTTTTGTGTCTTGTAGATATACATCACATATTATAGTTGAGTCAGTTTTGTGTCTTGTAGATATACATCACATATTATAGTTGAGTCAGTTTTGTGTCTTGTAGATACACATCACATATTATAGTTGAGTCAGTTATGTGTGTGTGCCTGTGTGTGTGTTGTACAGGATTAGAACATCTACAGGTTTAGAACAATTTAGTTCATGTCATACTGTCATGTCGGCTCTGAGGCTAAGTCGATGCGAACGCTTTGTAATGCCAGGATGCCGGGTTCGATCCCAGCTGCAGGCCATGCGCCTTGCGTTGGTTTCGACAGTGGTATCAAGAAAGCCGACCGTCCAGAAAGCAATGGCAAACTACTGGACATAAATTTGCCTAGAAAAACCACACAACAGCCAGGGGCTGTTGGGGTTGGTTCTGCAACCACACTGTCACACCATCCTGTAATTTGATGACTAATTAGCTCAGGAGACTTCATGAATTTTTTCTTCTTCTTCCATGTCAACATCAGCCATGCTAAACTTGTAGCACTGTGGACCCTTAGACCAGATCTCTAATCTCTGTTAGGCATACACAAGACATTCCTGCAGGACTTGCTCCAGATCCTGTCTGCCTCAGTCACACGTGGCAGATTCTGTTAGGCATACGCAGGACATTCCTACAGATACTGTGTCTGGGTAAAGCTGGGGTGACAACCCCCCCAACCTAGCATGTCCACTGGGGGTGAATCGTGGAATGGCCTCTAGAAAAAGAGGTTAGATGCGAATACCCAATTAGCAACCACGAACCAACTGGCTATGGGTACAGAGGGTGAGGTGGGATTTCAGGGTGGGATCTGAAATCCTTAGAAAATACCTCATATGCTCGACGACGTATCTACAAAATGTTTGGGGCACTATAACCCCTTCCTAGGCAGGTGGATCTAGGGAAGGTGGGGGGGATAACGAGGTGATCTGGTCAACACTCAGAGGAAAGGCAATACGATTGTATAATCCGAATGCGGTTGGCACCATTCATATTGGAACTCTGTGCTGGCTGCTGAAGATGGGGATGGAGCGCTTATGTGAATGCCCCAAATGCTGTGATATCGGTTCTTGAATCAACTCAACTCATCCTGTCTGCCCCTGTCACAGGTGGCAGACTCTTGTACCCTTGTTTTGTGTAGGTGTGCTCTAGGACTGAGTCTTTTTTCCAAAGCCTAAACAGAAATATTGTTTGCTCCTTCCTGTGCATTTTGTTCACACTGCCACTTTCTCATCTGGGAGAATGACCCCATGGTAAAAACCTGTAAACCCATGTGCCATGGATGAAACGGATGAAACTGGCACAAAAGTCGAGAAAAGGATGAGACAGACAAACAAACTGGACTGATTCCAAGTTAAAGATGGCATCCCCACTGACTGACTTTCTACCCCACCAGGACATCACACAAGTAATAAACACCCGATGTCACAATGTGCCACCATGTGGATGAGGATCACAGTGGAAACTGCGTTCAGCCATTAGGCCAGAGTAGGGCTTCAAATAATGAAAAATTGCATCCTAAAAAAGGACCACAAGATCGGATAGCATGGCACCCCCACAGCCTGTGTTTGATCACGTTCAGTAGTATGAAGGTATGTTGTGATTAAAACAATCACGTTCAGTAGTATGAAGGTATGTTGTGATTAAAAAAATCCCGTTCAGTAGTATGAAGGTATGTTGTGATTAAAACAATCACGTTCAGTAGTATGAAGGTATGTTGTGATTAAAACAATCACGTTCAGTAGTATGAAGGTATGTTGTGATTAAAACAATGTCATTTTTAATCACAGGCAAAATTATCTATGTAGGATTTCCACTCTGCATACAGATCAATGACATGTGTCATGAACTGGACACAACATATGTCATGAACTGGACACAACATATGTCATGAACTGGACACAACATATGTCACAAACTGGACACAACATATGTCATGAACTGGACACAACATATGTCATGAACTGGACACAACATATGTCATGAACTGGACACAACATATGTCACAAACTGGACACAACATATGTCACAAACTGGACACAACAAGTCATGAACTGGACACAACATAAGTCATGAACTGGACACAACATATGTCATGAACTGGACACAACATAAGTCATGAACTGGACACAACATATGTCACAAACTGGACACAACATATGTCACAAACTGGACACAACAAGTCATGAACTGGACACAACATAAGTCATGAACTGGACACAACACATGTCATGAACTGGACACAACATATGTCATGAACTGGACACAACACATGTCATGAACTGGACACAACTCATGTCATGAACTGGACACAATAAGACATTTTATAACTGACAACACAGACAAAATAATAATAATAATAAACATTTACACAATCACTGCACAGAGAAGCAAGGTAGATAACACATCTTGACAGAACATAAACTGCAGCTGGATTCTTACTTCCCCTGTATCCAAGCGATAGACCAGCTGACTAAATGTTTCCAAACCTCGCAGAGCTCCCCAGACTTCCCTGGCTTGTAGGACAGGAGTTGGTGCCACCGTCAAGTCATCTGTTGGAATATGAGCAAGCAGTTTTACAAGCTGCATCATTCACAAAATATTGGCAATATTTGCTAAGGTGGCAGGTCATTAATGATGTAACAAAAGGTCATTAATGATGTAACAACAGGTCATTAATGATGTAACAACATTTCATTAATGATATAACAACAGGTCATTAATGATGTAATAACAGGTACTTAGTGATGTAACAACAGGTACTTAGTGATGTAACAACAGGTCATTAATGATGTAACAACAGGTATTTAATGATTTAACAACAGGTACTTAGTGATGTAACAACATGTACTTAGTGATGTAACAACAGGTACTTAGTGATGTAACAGCAGGTCATTAATGATGTAACAACTGGTATTTAATGATGTAACAACAGGTACTTAGTGATGTATCAACAGGTACTTAGTGATGTAACAACAGATACTTAGTGATGTAACAACAGGTCAATAATGATGTAACAACCGGTCCTTAATGATGTGACAACATGTTCAACGGGTCAATAATGATGTAACAACAGGTCCTTAACTCTTTTAGTCCCAGGTGGTTTAGCATCACAGGCAGGAATCTATGAACGTTTGATGCATTTCTTGGGACTCTAGGAGTTAACGATGTAACAACAGGTCATTGGTGATGTAACAACGGGTCATTAATAATGCAACAACATGTCATTGGTGATGTAACAATGACAAATCTCGATGAAATCCTCGGAGAATGCTGGCAAGTTATAATAAACTATTTTCAAACTTTCACTGGGATGTGCTCTGAACATGTGTGCCCTTTTCAATTTCCAACTGTTGAAGAATATTTAAAGTGAGCAATGTGCTTATGTATCCTTCAAATTTGCATCTGTATCCGAGAGGATGGAATATGCTCGTATCAATAACAATAACAACATACATGTAACTTGTTAACACCGCTGTCTGTATATCACTATTATCATGTGTCTGCCCAATCTAGTGACATCAGATAAGCATATACACCTGGGCCCATGTTGCCACCACCCCCTGCCCCCATCTATGTTGGCACCAATGTTGACTCTCCCATGCCGACCCCACCTCCCACCCCAATCAAACAAACTGAGCCATGACCCAGAAACTGTTGTAGTAACTTACAAGACTCATCAGACTGAAGAGTTGGGTAGATAACTCCATCACAAGGGGTCTCCACAGCAACAATGAAAACGGGTAGGGAGCCGTCAATTCTCACTTCAGGCTTAAAAAAGAGAGACTTTGACCTGTAAAAAAATATCACCCAAAAATAGAGAATCATTATCAATGTCACTAAAAAGGATTGGAGACATTGTCTATGACACTAAAACAGAGTGAAGACATTGTGTCACTAAAACCAATTGGAGACATTGTCTATGACACTAAAACAGAGTGAAGACATTGTGTCACTAAAACCAATTGGAGACATTGTCTATGTCACTAAAACAGAGTGAAGACATTGTCTATGTCAGTATGCAGTGGCAAAGTTAGGGTATAGCAGTTAGGATGAATGCAATAGATTTTGGGTTAAATAAAAAAGAGGAAATCAACAGAGTTATCAAGGTAACATCTGACTGTCTTCACAGAGAAATGGCTGGGAGGTATATTCATTTGTACGACGTAGATGCAAGGATTCCTCTTTGATACTGATGAACCGTGTTATTGTTTGAACAAGGACCTGAAGCAGAAGTGGGGAATTTTATGTGAATTTTACAGCTCTGATGGGCAACAGCTATTTGAAGAGAATTTGGATTGCAGAATGCTGCTGTCAAGTCGTGCTGCTATCAAGTCATACTTCTGTCAAGTTGTGCTGCTGTCAAGTCGTGCTGCTATCAAGTCATACTTCTGTCAAGTTGTGCTGCTGTCAAGTCGTGCTACTGTCAAGTCGTGCTGCTGTCAAGTCGTGCTGCTGTCAAGTCGTACTGCTGTCAAGTCGTGCTGCTGTCAAGTCGTGCTGCTGTCAAGTCGTGCTGCTGTCAAGTCATGTCAAGTCGTGCTGCTGTCAAGTCGTGCTGCTGTCAAGTCATGCAGCTGTCAAGTCGTGCTGCTGTCAAGTCATGCAGCTGTCAAGTCGTGCTGCTATCAAGTCATGCTGCTGTCAAGTCATGCTGCTGTCAAGTCATGCAGCTGTCAAGCTGTGCTGCTGTCAAGTCATGCTGCTGTCAAGTCGTGCTGCTATCAAGTTGTGCTGCTGTCAAGTCATGCTGCTGTCAAGTCGTGCTGCTGTCAAGTCATACAGCTGTCAAGTCATGCTGCTGTCAAGTCATGCTGCTGTCAAGTCATGCTGCTGTCAAGTCATGCTGCTGTCAAGTCATACAGCTGTCAAGTCATGCTGCTGTCAAGTCATACAGCAGTCAAGTCGTGCTGCTGTCAAGTCATGCTGCTGTCAAGTCATGCTGCTGTCAAGTCATACAGTTGTCAAGTTGTGCTGCTGTCAAGTCATGCTGCTGTCAAGTCATGCAGCTGTCAAGTCGTGCTGCTGTCAAGTCATGCTGCTGTCAAGTCATGCTGCTGTCAAGTCATGCTGCTATCAAGTCGTGCTGCTGTCAAGTCATACACCTGTCAAGTCGTGCTGCTGTCAAGTCGTGCTGCTATCAAGTTGTGCTGCTGTCAAGTTGCGCTGCTGTCAAGTCCCACAGCTGTCAAGTCATGCTGCTGTCAAGTTGTGCTGCTGTCAAGTTGTGCTGCTGTCAAGTCGTGCTGCTGTCAAGTCGTGCTGCTGTCAAGTCGTGCTGCTGTCAAGTTGTGCTGCTGTCAAGTTGTGCTGCTGTCAAGTCATGCTGCTGTCAAGTCGTGCTGCTATCAAGTCATGCTGCTGTCAAGTCGTATCAACATAAAGACAACACAACCTGAATAACTACTGAAGTTCATTGTTCAGTATGGAGATGTGAGTGTATTTTCTAATATTTGCATTTGTGTTCAAATAATGCTAATCACTGCAGTTTCCATTGCCAGATGTGAAACTCATTCTTGACTAATCGATGGGACAAGACAGACTCTGTGATCTTACTCTGCTCCATGAAGAAAGAGAGAAATAACTGAGAAAATTTACTTTGAGCACAGAATAGACCAGTTAGCACTAGTAAAGGCAAGAAAAATATATTTATAGTTTGAATCTTGTGTCAGTAAAGTGTCATGACTTGTTAATTAAAGATCTGTTAAATAGTTAATTTGATTAAAAAAAAAGAAAAAAAAAAAAATTATTATTTATATGAACTGATGAAACTGAATATAAGAAAACAAATTTTAATTTTTGTTAAAAAGGAGGAAAAATCGGTAAATGTACTGAGAAGTTGAAAAAACAAAAGCTAAGAAAAGTCTATTGTGAATACAATTTTGTGTATCATCGTGTCCTGTGATACATCCAGAAACTGATCTGTGTGCCAAAGATTGAGATTCCTTGACCTTCAAAACATATTTCTGGAACTTGCACTAATGACATATGGAAGTAATTATTAATTCAACAGTTAGTTCACATTCACACTGCACAAATGACACACTTTACCAGTTTACACCCAGTATATTTTACTTTTCTCTGAATCTTACTTGCAAAAGAATTAAACAGGCTTCCTAATTATGCACTACAGTTTCTTTGAAAGTAGCCAAAAATACAGCAATGGCTAATGCAAGTTTAGAAACAATTATACCCCCCCCCCCAACCTCCTTTTCCCGCCATGGGCACCAAATACCCTGGCTACGCCCCTGCCACAGTGCTATGTTGTGTTATCACTGCACACTGGACATAGCCAAGCGTGGTCTGATGCAGCAGCTCCCCCCCCCCCCAGGTACCTCTGCTGTATGAGCAGCTGGTTATGTCCCCTACCTTGGCACACTGAGCTGCTTCACCAGGTTGTGCTCCAAGTTCGTGTAATTAACATAAGTAGACAGAGGGGGAACCCTTGAGGGTGTAGAAGCATTTTATATATATATATATTTATAAGAGACCATGTGCTGATTGGCACTCATTAAAAAAAAAGTAGAAATAGAGGACATAATAAAAATTGAAAGCTATAGTTACTGTAGCGGGAATCAATCTGTAACCTACAAACAACGAATGCGTCTCACTGTGGAAACAAATGTTCTAAGAAACATGACCGATAAGATTTCCCTAAAAAGATGTCTTCATTAGCAATGTCTATAGTACAGCTTGAAATCCACAACTACTGATAAAACATGGACACAGTTCATCTCAAACCATGTCACTACTGGGTCCACTCACCTTGACCTCTGCTTGTATCCACCAAAGGTCAGCTGGTAGTACCTGGAGAAGGCGGCGGTCAGCAATGGGCAGCCTGGACCACGGGTCTGAAACTGGAAGTTCTCTACATCCAGCTCTAGTACCGTGGTGGTTGGCTGGTAGAGTCTGGGCAGTGGCCACGGCTGCCCTCTGGTTTGTGAGGCAGGATACGCAGACAGTTTTCCTAGCAAGCCTGCTTCTGTCTGCTGTAACAGCAACAATGTCACACAGGTGAGGACAAGGTGACCCTGCAGACCTGCCATTTTACCTGAACAGAACATTCCTGAATTATTAGCTGTAGGAAATGTGTTGTCTTGTGAAACTATACTTTTTTTTTTAAAATACCCGGAAACCATGAGTTGTTAACCCTTTTCCTCAGTACTATGGATATCGCAACCCTTCGGCCTTGATTCCATGATAGGTACAGTAAATCTGGGAGAAATGTGGCTTTTCTGCCTACCCCTGGGGGTGAACTCGGATTACAAAGAGTTCGTCATGCGGACACTGAGAAGTCAGGTTTAACCAACTACGCTAGAGAGCTGGGCTAATGCTAGTAAACAACTATGTTATTGCAAGAGGTGGTGGATTTACTCTAGATCAGTGCTGCTCTAGATAAAGAGATAACCACAAATACTGCAGTTGGTGGTCAATGAGAGGCCAGCAGTTTTTACAGACTTGATCCAGCATCGTGACTGTAATATTGTGAATTCCTGGGGAAATCCTGGAAAGAGTGGAAAAAAGGGTAGACGCAGACCAACAGAGATTATGCTGAATGGGCTGAAACAATGGCATGGAGGAATATCATCAAGAGAACTGTTCCTGGCAATTAGGGATAGTGATCTGTAGAGACTAGCATCTGGAATAGATGTGGTATCTGCCTGCTGATCAAGCTAAAGGTTTACAGAGTTGTCATTCTTCCAGTACTGCTCTACGCTTGCGAACGTGGACTGTGTATCAGCACCATGCTAAAAAGTTAAATCATGTTTTATATTACTTGTCTCGGAAAGCTGCTTAAAATCCAACTGCAAGATCCCAAAAACTATGGTTTTTGATAGTGCAAACCTGCCTAGCATCCACACGATACTAAAGAATTATCAGCTGCGTTAGACTGGTCACCTAACCCGAATGCCAAACTATCGCTCCTAAAGAGAGTATTTGATGGCGAGCTGCAGGAAGGGAAAAGGCCTTAGGAAGGACAGACAAAGCGCTATAACGACACTCTCAAGGCTGCTCTCAATTCTTTTGGCATCAACACATCGACATGGAAGGCTGCTGCACATGACTGTTCTGGACAGCGTACATCCCTCAGGCATGGTGCATCAGCCAGGCCAAGCAGTGGGGGTTGCTGTAAAGGCAGAGAAACAAAGGCAGACTAGTAAGAACTGTATCGCTAATCCCACACTGTTGTCCGCACTGCTCAAGAACTTTCCAGGCTCATACTAGACAAATCGCCCACCTTCATACTCATAATCATTGATCATTACTACTTTGGGTGAAAGTGGTCTCCATCACTCGTCATGGAAGAACAAGAGCTATGAGTGACATGGTCACTGGCTGCAAAAATAGGCCATAAGAACCCTCACCCTTGTTCCCACTCCCTTCTGCTGCTGCTAACCTCACCCTTGTTCCCACTCACTTCTGCTGCTGCTAACCTCACCCTTGTTCCCACTCCCTTCTGCTGCTGCTAACCTCACCCTTGTTCCCACTCCCTTCTGCTGCTGCTAACCTCACCCTTGATCCCACTCCCCTTCTGCTGCTGCTAACCTCACCCTTGTTCCCACTCCCTTCTGCTAACCTCACCCTTGTTCCCACTCCCTTCTGCTGCTGCTAACCTCACCCTTGTTCCCACTCCCCTTCTGCTGCTGCTAACCTCACCCTTGTTCCCACTCCCCTTCTGCTGCTGCTAACCTCACCCTTGTTCCCACTCCCCTTCTGCTGCTGCTAACCTCACCCTTGTTCCCACTCCCCTTCTGCTGCTGCTAACCTCACCCTTGTTCCCACTCCCCTTCTGCTGCTGCTAACCTCACCCTTGTTCCCACTCCCCTTCTGCTGCTGCTAACCTCACCCTTGTTCCCACTCCCCTTCTGCTGCTGCTAACCTCACCCTTGTTCCCACTCCCCTTCTGCTGCTGCTAACCTCACCCTTGTTCCCACTCCCCTTCTGCTGCTGCTAACCTCACCCTTGTTCCCACTCCCCTTCTGCTGCTGCTAACCTCACCCTTGTTCCCACTCCCCTGCTGCTGCTGCTAACCTCACCCTTGTTCCCACTCCCCTGCTGCTGCTGCTAACCTCACCCTTGTTCCCACTCCCCTGCTGCTGCTGCTAACCTCACCCTTGTTCCCACTCCCCTTCTGCTGCTGCTAACTATGATTTGTTCAACATTCTTGATGACCTCATATACACTATTTATGTAGCAAAAGAAATAAGCCCTTGTATAACCACACATGGGTCCCAGTGGATGATTTCATTATTTCATGATTTGTTACAAGCCTTGCCTTTAATAAGTGTGTGTGTGAGAGAGAGAGAGAGAGAGAGAGAGAGAGAGAGAGAGAGAGAGAGAGAGAGAGAGAGAGAGAGAGAGAGAGAGAGAGAGAGAGAAGAATATAAACATAAGGGTATTTAGTATTGTTTGGATATGTTTGCTGGGGTAGGTAGAAGTTCTAGTAGTTGTTTGCTGGGGTAGGTAGAAGTTCCAGTAGTTGTTTGCTGGGGTAGGTAGAAGTTCCAGGATATGTTTGCTGGGGTAGGTAGAAGTTCCAGGATATGTTTGCTGGGGTAGGTAGAAGTTCCAGGATACGTTTGCTGGGGTAGGTAGAAGTTCCAGTAGTTGTTTGCTGGGGTAGGTAGAAGTTCCAGGAGTTGTTTGCTGGGGTAGGTAGAAGTTCCAGGATATGTTTGCTGGGGTAGGTAGAAGTTCCAGGAGTTGTTTGCTGGGGTAGGTAGAAGTTCCAGTAGTTGTTTGCTGGGGTAGGTAGAAGTTCCAGGAGTTGTTGCTGGGGTAGGTAGAAGTTCCAGGAGTTGTTTGCTGGGGTAGGTAGAAGTTCCAGTAGTTGTTTGCTGGGGTAGGTAGAAGTTCCAGTAGTTGTTTGCTGGGGTAGGTAGAAGTTCCAGTAGTTGTTTGCTGGGGTAGGTAGAAGTTCCAGTAGTTGTTTGCTGGGGTAGGTAGAAGTTCCAGGAGTTGTTTGCTGGGGTAGGTAGAAGTTCCAGGAGTTGTTTGCTGGGGTAGGTAGAAGTTCCAGTAGTTGTTTGCTGGGGTAGGTAGAAGTTCCAGTAGTTGTTTGCTGGGGTAGGTAGAAGTTACAGTAGTTGTTTGCTGGGGTAGGTAGAAGTTCCAGTAGTTGTTTGCTGGGGTAGGTAGAAGTTCCAGGACTTGTTTGCTGGGGTAGGTAGAAGTTCCAGGAGTTGTTTGCTGGGGTAGGTAGAAGTTCCAGGAGTTGTTTGCTGGGGTAGGTAGAAGTTCCAGGAGTTGTTTGCTGGGGTAGGTAGAAGTTCCAGTAGTTGTTTGCTGGGGTAGGTAGAAGTTCCAGGAGTTGTTTGCTGGGGTGGGTAGAAGTTCCAGTAGTTGTTTGCTGGGGTAGGTAGAAGTTCCAGTAGTTGTTTGCTGGGGTAGGTAGAAGTTCCAGGACTTGTTTGCTGGGGTAGGTAGAAGTTCCAGGAGTTGTTTGCTGGGGTAGGTAGAAGTTCCAGTAGTTGTTTGCTGGGGTAGGTAGAAGTTCCAGGAGTTGTTTGCTGGGGTAGGTAGAAGTTCCAGGAGTTGTTTGCTGGGGTAGGTAGAAGTTCCAGGAGTTGTTTGCTGGGGTAGGTAGAAGTTCCAGGAGTTGTTTGCTGGGGTAGGTAGAAGTTCCAGGAGTTGTTTGCTGGGGTAGGTAGAAGTTCCAGGAGTTGTTTGCTGTGGTAGGTAGAAGTTCCAGGAGTTGTTTGCTGGGGTAGGTAGAAGTTCCAGTAGTTTGTGTTGTGATAGGTAGAAGTTCCAGGAGTTCTGTTTGCACTCAGAGGGTAGAAATAGTTCGTTGATAGAAAAAAAATCTGCACACAGATTGGCTGATTCTACAGCAATGGGTGGTGAATGTCTGGTATATGGAGAGAATGGAGCAGCTGTGATAATCTGCTCAACACTCAGAGAATGGAGCAGCTGTGATAATCTGCTCAACACTCAGAGAATGGAGCAGCTGTGATAATCTGCTCAACACTCAGAGAATGGAGCAGCTGTGATAATCTGCTCAACACTCAGAGCAAAAACAGACTGCTACTGGCACCCGCAGAACTGGAACTCTTCACTGGCTGCTGAAGATAAGACGGAACGCTTATGGGAATGTCCCGAGTGCTGTGATGTCAGTTCTAAGCTAAACACACAACACATATATTCTGTGAACTGAGGATACAATCAAACACAAAAGATAATATACTTCATAAACTGAGAAGGAAATCAAACACAAGAGACGAGATAAACTACTCCGTGAACTGAGGAGGAAATCAAACACAAGAGTTAAGTTAAGTTAAGAATTGACATCACAGCAATCGGGCCATTTCCATGCATGCTCCATCCTCACCTTCAGCAGCCAGCGCAGAGTTCCAATACTGATGCTACCGGTGACTCTGGTTATATGTCCGTCTTGTCTTTCCTCTGAGTGTGGTGAGCTGGCTAGACCTTCTGGTTACACCCAGGTGCCTCATTCTCTCCATGCCATAATAATCTATTTTTCTCTATTGATTCTGTAATCTGTCTGCCTGTTCATAACCCACCATGCCGGTATAGCCTGGAGAAAAGATCCAAAGTATGCTCATTACCCGTGACCTTTCCAGTGAAGCTTGCCACTCTGCTCCAAGGATCCCTGTCTTAACTTTTCTCAGCATGCTTTCAGAGTCTGTTACAATTACGACATGAGTATGCATCTTGTTCTCTAGCCATGGGAGAGCCGCAGTTACCACCTCCATTCTCATGCTAGATGTTGTGGTGTCGTATGCTAGGCTGTCTTGCACTAAAGATTTTCCATTGGCTTTTGCTACGAACCCCCAGGCACTTCTCTTTCCTCCAAACACTGAACCATCTGTATAAATAATCAGATTACCTGGGCGTGAAGTAACGTGAATCAACTGCTGGACTTCCAACTCCATAGCACCTGCTGGCTAATTCTCTGCACACCCGGCCCAATGTAATCATAACGCTACACAGGTCAGACGTTTTCACTTGCACTCTGACCCACACCTCTCCTCGCCCAATGTTCTCCAGCATGCATACTTGTCTTATTTGTCTTCTGCTTGAGCCATCCAAAAATTTTCCCATTTTCAGCCTCTGACCCTTGCCTGCAGCCACAGCTTTATACAGAAGGTGTTCCCTGTCTGCAGCTACTCTGAGGTATGAAACACAATCATCATCATCAAGTGCCTTGCCGACTGGCGTGGGCGATCATGTCTATCCATAATCTGTGATCACCTGCAGCATGCATCAGTTCGTGTGCCGACACACCTCCATGCCATGCAACAAGACTGTCAATCATTTTCTATCGTTGTCTTCCTCTATCTCTCCTTCCACATATTTTTCCAGTGGTCACAACATGTTCTATTTTCCCTCTTCTCATAACATGGCCGAAAAATTATGACTGTCTCCTTCTGATGTCTGTGATAAGTTGTCTTCGGGCTCCCACCTCTTTCAAAACCTCTTGGTTGCTCTTTTTGGCTGTCCAAGGTATTCTAAGAATTCTTCTGTAAAACCACATCTCTGAGGCCTCTAAAATTGTTTGGCCTGCCTACCGATTGTCCAGGATTCACAGCCATATGTTAAAACTGGATGTATGTAGCAAGCAGGAATTCCTTTTCTAACTCTCAATGACAATGATATATTGCACAAGATATTTTTCATTTATAAAATGTAGTTTTTGCCTGTCCAATTCTGTTTCTTATTTCAGTTATGCATCTTCCATCTGATGTTATCCATGTGCCCAGATACTTAAATTTCTGTACTTGTCCTAAAATAACACCATCGACTTTTATTACACATTTAGGAATAATTTGTTTCTTTGATACCACCATTACTTCTGTCTTCCCATTATTCAAACTGAGGCCTATTCTTCCACTTTCTAACACCACAGTGTCTATAATAATTTTCTGTAATTCTTTCTGACTTGTTGCTATAAGACTGTGTCCTGTCAGCATAAACAACACAATAGACAACAACACAAATCGTACTCAGTGAATTGCAGAGAAAATCAAACACAAGAAACAACAGCCAGGAATTAGAGGGAGAGAAAGAGAGAGACAGAGAGAGAGAACACGTACCGTACTCTGGGGACAACGCCAACTGTAAAAGAAAATAAAACAATTGAACCATTCAACCAGGAACTAGACACTAAAGCAATCACCTGACTTGTCGGTTAATCACGTGATCGCCGCCATCTTCCGTAAATATAGTAACGGTGTCGACCTTCTTAAATGTCTAGGGTGAATCCTAAATGGGCTCTCCTCCGAAATACGGTCATAAATTATCAAGGCTTAGAAGTATCCTAACAGGGCCTCAGTCATATGTAAATTTTGTACTCCTTTCAGGCTTAAGATATAAAACCGAATAAAAAGTATATCTGCGAGCTTCACAATATAACAAACAAAACGTAAACATTGCGACTATAGAGCTTTCTTCAGCATATACATAGATTAGACAATACTACATAAATACACAATATCACTCACTTTCGTATCTCGTGGCAGCCAGGTCGTTGTCAAGCCATTAGTCTCAACAGGCACTTGGGGCCGGGAAAATGAAAACCCTGGGATGTTGCCAGGGGCCGGAAGTCAAGGATAAGATAAAACTGTGTAGGCAGTTCACCAATCCCCCCCCCCCCCCCAGCATTTAGATAAAGCTGTGTTAGCAGTTTAGTCCACTTGGCGCTCAAGTTCCCAAAGTGTCTATAAAGCGATTTTCAAGAGAATTGCAAACTCTGTCGCATGGGCCTTTACAACTCGCTCTTCAACTACCTCTAATTCTGCCATACCGTTACACCTCTGTCTACATTCTGTTCATAACATGATGTAAATGCTGTGGGTGTTCGTGTCGATCCATTCCTGTCCCCTGTGTGTTTGCTTGACTGATGCCGCCATCTCAAAGGTATATTCAGCTAGTGACATCTATGATTGTCCTCTCTTCAACCAGGTCTACTCCTCAGGTTACCCGGCATTTTTTCCCATTTTGGACAAAAATATCACTTTTTCAATGTGTTCGTTTTTGTAAAGTTCGGCATTCGTAGAATATATTACACACACACAATTTATGTCATTTGTAAACAATTTGCCTTTGAAAAGGCAATACTAAAGGCACCAACCCATGCACTTCTTAAAGATTAAAAAAAAAAGTTTAAAAGTCAGTTTTCTCACATCTCTTTCTTTCTGTTTGTTGTGTGTGTGTGTGTGTGTGTGTGTGTGTGTGTAAAAATCTCAGCTGCTATAAAGACTAGAAACATGAAATTTAGTATGGATACTCCTCAAACAATATTATAGAGACTGGTCATTTCAAAAGTAGATTTTAGAAAGTTTTTGTTTTTAAAATGTGATTATTATCTTATGATGCAAGTTTTTTTGGACTTTTTCAATAAACCTACATTTAAAAATTCTACAAAAAATATTTAAAAACATGTTTAAAGTAAATAAACTACACAAATACCTCTAAATATGATAAAAGGTCATGAATCTATCGTTTATATATTAATACGTATGTTTGTTTCTGAAATTTTAGGATTCTAAGTACATGTTTTTTCCCCACAAGATGGGGGTTATTGCCATGATTTTTTCGCACTTGATGCAAATGTAATAACATGTATCCCTTAAAATGACCATTATAAAATAATTCCTTTAACTATGTAAATAAAATAAACAAATTTTGAGTAGTGACCCCTTAAATCGTTCAGATTACCATGCAGAGGATTCCTTTCGTCATTGGTAACTCGCATAAAGGACTTGGCTAGCGATGTCAGCCCAAGCATTTACCTCACTGTTCTAACTGGGGTGTCCCTTGTGTCAGCCCAAGCATATACCTCACTGTTCTAACTGGGGTGTCCCTTGTGTCAGCCCAAGCATATACCTCACTGTTCTAACTGGGGTGTCTCTTGTGTCAGCCCAAGCATATACCTCACTGTTCTAACTGGGGTGTCCCTTGTGTCAGCCCAAGCATTTACCTCACTGTTCTAACTGGGGTGTCCCTTGTGTCAGCCCAAGCATATACCTCACTGTTCTAACTGGAGTGTCCCATGTGTCAGCCCAAGCATATACCTCACTGTTCTAAGTGGAGTGTCCCTTGTGTCAGCCCAAGCATTTACCTCACTGTTCTAACTGGGGTGTCCCTTGTGTCAGCCCAAGCATATACCTCACTGTTCTAACTGGGGTGTCCCTTGTGTCAGCCCAAGCATATACCTCACTGTTCTAACTGGGGTGTCCCTTGTGTCAGCCCAAGCATTTACCTCACTGTTCTAACTGGGGTGTCCCTTGTGTCAGCCCAAGCATATACCTCACTGTTCTAACTGGGGTGTCCCTTGTGTCAGCCCAAGCAAATACCTCACTGTTCTAACTGGAGTGTCCCATGTGTCAGCCCAAGCATATACCTCACTGTTCTAACTGGAGTGTCCCTTGTGTCAGCCCAAGCATATACCTCACTGTTCTAACTGGGGTGTCCCATGTGTCAGCCCAAGCATATACCTCACTGTTCTAACTGGGGTGTCCCTTGTGTCAGCCCAAGCATATACCTCACTGTTATAACTGGGGTGTCCCTTGTGTCAGCCCAAGCATATACCTCACTGTTCTAACTGGGGTGTCCCTTGTGTCAGCCCAAGCATATACCTCACTGTTCTAACTGGGGTGTCCCGTGTGTCAGCCCAAGCATATACCTCACTGTTCTAACTGGAGTGTCCCATGTGTCAGCCCAAGCATATACCTCACTGTTCTAACTGGAGTATCCCATGTGTCAGCCCAAGCATATACCTCACTGTTCTAACTGGGGTGTCCCTTGTGTCAGCCCAAGCATCTGCCTCACTGTTATAACTGGGGTGTCCCTTGTGTCAGCCCAAGCATATACCTCACTGTTCTAACTGGGGTGTCCCTTGTGTCAGCCCAAGCATATACCTCACTGTTCTAACTGGGTGTTTTGTGTCAGCCCAAGCATATACCTCACTGTTCTAACTGGGATGTCCCTTGTGTCAGCCCAAGCATATACCTCACTGTTAAAAACTGGGGTGTCCCTTGTGTCAGCCCAAGCATATACCTCACTGTTCTAACTGGGATAAAAAGGTCAGCCCAAGCATATACCTCACTGTTCTAACTGGGATGTCCCTTGTGTCAGCCCCAAGCATATACCTCACTGTTATAACTGGGGTGTCCCTTGTGTCAAAGCATATACCTCACTGTTCTAACTGGGATGTCCCTTGTGTCAGCCCAAGCATATACCTCACTGTTATAACTGGGGTGTCCCTTGTGTCACAAGCATATACCTCACTGTTATATACTGGGTGTCCCATGTGTCAGCCCAAGCATATACCTCACTGTTCTAACTGGGGTGTCCCATGTGTCAGCCCAAGCATATACCTCACTGTTCTAACTGGATGTCCCTTGTGTCAGCCCAAGCATATACCTCACTTATAACTGGGGTGTCCCTTGTGTCAGCCCAAGCATATACCTCACTGTTCTAACTGGGGTGTCCCTTGTAAATATACCTCACTGTTATAATGGGATGTCCCTTGCGTCAGCCCAAGCATATACCTCACTTTATAATCGTGTCAGCCCATTACACGTTTATAACTTGGGGTCCCTTGCAGGCATGCCTCACTGTTATAACGGGATGTCCATTGGTAAGCCCGCATAACCTCAGGACTGGCTAG